AAATTTAAATTCAAGGAGGTCAATTCTGAAAATTTCTGTCCAAATTGTGCCCAATGCATAATTCCTGTCATCGTCAAGCCATTAAAAGATAAATCCAAAGATTCAATCTTCTCTAGCTGTAATTTTGAAAATATCAATTTTCTTTTGGAAGAAGTATCGGCCCGAGTCGATAAATTCAATAATGAACATTTGGTTTGTTTCACGTACTCTCTCCATTGTTTTGAAACCAATACACATGTGCTCAATAATATTCGTCCTTCTAAAAATGTAAAAATATGATCAAGCCATATTTCGGAAGGAATTTCTTCCATTAGACTAAAGCATCTTGAAGATTGAATTTCTTGATGATTCCGATGAGATACAAGATCCATACTTTCTTGTTCCGTGCTATTACTGTTGTTATTCTTGAGAAGAGAATTTTCTGTGTCATGATCGTTGTGTGATGACGATGAGGTCATTTTTTTAAACGGAATTTGATTTTGGAACACAACAAATTCATTCCTTCGGACATGAATACAATCCTGAGTAGGGTTGTTTGAAGAGTTTACACATACAATGACTCTGATGGAACAAGTTGTGAATGATGATGGAGCAAAGGTGTCGTGCTTGGTTTTCTTGTAGGCCTCCTCCTCGCAACAGTTGTTGTTGTTCGAAACATCATCACAATTCCTTCGTTTCAATGACATTTTTTTATGTTGCAAAATGTTTAGTTATGGATGACACTTGTCAACATAAACAAGTAAAAAAATGTTGCCAAAGAAACGATTCTTCTTTTCATCAACAACACGTTCACAACATCCTCTTTCACATCACACATTGATGTTCAGTACTCTATTCACAACATTTCTCATTATTTTTCTATCAACATCAACACAAGCTCAAGTTTCTACAAGTACTTGTTCGGGTTCGTGTATGGCCGTGTCTGACGTGCTAGCAAATAGTGCCATCAAATCGGGACTCACCATGTGTCAAAATTATTTACCAAAATCTCAATATGTGTAGGTATTAAATATATTGTTTGGACATATGTTTCTCACTCTCAACAACAACAATATACATTGACCTTGTCATCATCATTAATGAAAATCATTGACGAAAATTCCAATCTATTGCCTATGAGACATTTAGTTGCATTACCCGAAACTATACATCGGATGACCTTGCACTACAAAATAACTTTCTCAAAAATTCTAAATTTCTTCCCGATGATGCAAGTTGTATCTCATCATGGAAATCATTTGCTTGCATGAGAGTATTTGCTTCGTGCTATCCAACGAACAAGACTGTTTTGCCTGTGTGTTATTCCGATTGTTTGACATATACTGAAAAGTAAGTGATTGATACTTGGAGTGGTTGTAACGAATCATTAACAACATGTCAATGATTATAACAAATTTTAGCTGTTGGAATAGAGATAGAGGCTACAATCCGTTCAACTGGTTTTATCAAGGCGTATTCTTTTTGAATCCTGATCTAGATTTAAAGTTCAAATATTTCTGTGCTAAAAATTCAGCTGGACTGCTTGGACAAAGTGGCGATGTGATCGACTATAACGCTAGTCCAAATCCGTACTGTACAACATCCACGGGAGCTTCATTAGTGACACTGATGAACAGCAGTGTCACACTTATTATGGCATTCATTATTCTTGCCTTAACTATTTAACATTTCCGAGACCTTCGTGTCATCAAACCTTTGAGTGTTTTTATGCTAATCGTTTAGAAGTAGGATTCTATTTCTTTTCCAAATTTTTAATTCTCTCTTGAAGAGATTTCATGTTATTATTAATGATTGTGAGATTTTCAGCAAAATTTTGGTTGAAATTTGCCAAAACGTCCTCATTTCCATGTAAAAGATCCATTAGCTCCTCTTGTTGTTCTTTCAGCTTTGTAACCGTACCTGCAAAGTAAATTGCTTCATCATGTACAATTTTTAGAGTTTGTAAACGAGATACAATCATTGGAACCTGCTTTGCTAGCTCATCCCATTTGCTTACTTTTTGAAATAAACTATCCACTTTTTCAGAGTTGAAACTTGAATGATTTTCAGAAGTTGAAATGGTATCCAGTTCTTTTGAAATAAATTTCACTCTTGATTCTAGCGATTGCAACAAAAATGGATCAAGCATGTTAAGCTTCTTTTCTAGGGATGACAACACGCTCTCAATGCTGGAAGTCTCACCTGGAAAGGATTCTTCTCCATTTCCAACAAGTTTTTCAAGTAAGGCCAACCGTTTTTCAAGCCTCAAAATTTTGTATGTTTCCTCGTCCTCAACACTGGATTTAGATAATGCAAAGGTTCCATCGTCAATTGTAGCTTGATTTACTTGCTGCTCAAACATAATTCCCATCGCCTGTTGTGCATGATCCAAAGAGGAAAGGACCTGTAATGAATTTGCTTCCAACTCGTTCTGAGACAATAGTCCTGGTAAAATGTGTTTGTTCTCTGTGAGCGCACCTAACTGTTTTTGTAGTTCTTGAGACTTCTCAAACATAGTTCTGTAAAACGAAGTACTTTCTGAAAGCAGTTTCTTTTGGGACAATGAGAGGTTTTCCATTTCGGAAACAAACGTATCCACTTCATGTTTTAGTCTTTGAAATTTGTCTGCTGGTGATTCATCCATGCTATGACTTGTGATTTCTGCAGTGTCTGATTCTGATGACAATAAATTCAATTGATAGACAGCAGACTTTCTTTTAAAGCGATTTCCAGATAATTTAGGGTTTAAAATTACTTCCTCAAAGAATTTGTATGATTTCGAAGCGTTTAGTGACTTTTCCTCAATCTCTTTCTGAACGAGACAGAAATTATATCATTTTAAAATCATAAATATTCAAAATTACTTACGATTAGAGGTTTGTTCTTTTTTACAGAGTTTTGTTTATCTTCTTTAGGAGGAATATATTCGAATTGTTCTTGTGATGATCGTTTCTTCAAAAGCATATATGCGTTCTAAATCCTACAATTCAAAATGACAGATACTTACAAACCCTGGTAGGCCTTCGAACAATGATTTTGAGACTGCAGAAACTCTTCGGAAAGTAGGACTTGTTGGTGGAGAAGGGTATCTTGAAGAAGGAAGCGAATGAGAAGGATGACCCTGGGGCGAGTTGTTGTCGAGAGCAATATTCAGCAAACCCTTACTTGAAGGAAAATTACCAGGAATTGGAGAGACTGGCTGATTGGGAGAATTCGCGTCTAGACTCATATTCCGATGGAGCAAGGACATGGAACGACGTTTCTCCAGCCACGGAGAAGCCTTTGATTTGATGTTTTCATAGTTATTACCAGAGGCAGATAATGAAGGTGAGGAAGATCCCGATGTTGTATTTTCCATTTTCGTTGATTGAAAATTGAGGAAGAAACTCAAGGCCTCCTAAAGGAATAATGAATTTTTTTTTCAAAAAGCACAAATGATACAACGTTTGCTGCTAAGATTGTTCGAACCTTAAAGTGGAACCACTAAAATACCTTTAACAAATTTGTACACCATGTACAAGTTCGATATTCATTCACTCGAGGCTAGATAATTCAAACCCTTACTGGATAACAAAAGTTCAGCCTAAAAGTGCTGTCAGCACGACATTTATTTAATTCTCTTGGATAATTCCACAGCAGCTACAATCAACGAGGCATGAGTATTGCAATGAATGAAATTTCCTAACATGTTTCCTGTAAAGGAGGTAATTTCACTGAACAAATCGACATGATTACTAAAGGTTGAAATCTTTTCAAACATGAGTTGAGCTTGTCTCAATTTCTTCTTGTCACGATCTCCCATAAGTGTCAATACTCTCAACAACCAAAATGAAAACATGTTATAGGTTCCTTCAGTGAAACGTGTCGTCTTGTCCTGGTGATGAATATCTTTGTTACGATACACGAGTGAAGAACTCACAAGACCTCCTTCTTTAGGTTTACGATCAATGGTTGCAATCGTATTGATCATTCGTGGATCGCTAATGGATAAGAAATTCACAAGAGGCATAATTAAGAGAGAGACATCAAGAGCATTCGATCCATACGACTGAACAAACGATCCCAATTTCTCATTGTAGCCCTTTTTCATAATGTCTTCATAAATTTCGTTTCGAGTTAAGAGCCAATGTTGAATGGGAGCTGGAAAACTCCTTCTTTCAGCGAGTCGGATGGCTCTATCCAAACAACACCAAGCCATGACTTTGGAATAGACATAGTGAGCATGGGCGCTTGTCTTTTCCCAAATGGAATGATCTGGATTTTTCCAATTGACAATGACAAACTCAACCATCTTTCTCAATTTGAGCCATAAATCATACGAGATGGGGCGTTTGGCATCGTACAAGAGTATGGCATCCATTAGTTCCCCATAAATATCCAACTCAATGTTTTGAGTAGCCATATTTCCAACTCGAACGGGACGACTATTACGAAAACCTGAAAAGGTTGAAATTTCTTCTACATGATCCAACGGTTTTCCCTCAATAGTGTAAATATTGTGAATGGGTGCTCTCATTGCAGAAACTTTAGAATTTCCTGTGGTGACAATGTCAATATCAGAAACTTGAGCTTCTTCAGCAACGATGGAAGGTACATCTTCCGTGTTGTCTCTCTTCATATTTTGCTCATTTTCCCAATTAATCACTCTCTCAATGAAACCAATAATTTTAGCAGCATCATCAATCATGGCAGTCTGTAGAAAGGCATTAATGGCAAAGGTAGCATCTCTCATCCAAAAGTATCTGTAATCATAATTTCGTTCTCCACCAATCACTTTTGGCAATGAAGTTGAAGGTGAAGATATAATGGCACCTGTCTTTTCATACATTAATAATTTCAATGCAAGAAGTGATCGATTCACTTGCTCTCTGAATATTCCCTGGTATTCACTCTTCTTGATATAATTTTGCCAAAAAGTGATCGTCTCCACAGCGAGTTGATTGGTTTTGTTGACAAGTCCTGGAAGGATTTTACAATACTTGTCGCCTTTCGTGTCAACCATCGAATCCCCTTCACCAGTGGTAGATATTTCTTCTTGTTGATCCTTTTCTATATAGCTCAATAAAAAGACACAACTCTTCTCAACATCCAATTCACTCAATTCCAAACTACCAACAATTCCATGTCCATTCTCTGTTGTCTTTTCAAAACAAGCACGATTACATTGTAATACTAATTTGTGGCCACTTTCTTCAGCTGTGAACACGACACATTTCCGATCTTGAGAGATCTGTACCGTGTGCTTTTCTCTTCCATAATTGAACACTGGAGTGCACTCAACACGGAAATCAATATGACCATGAACAATTTCAAGTCTTCGAATAATAGAGTCTGAAATCATTTGATTGAATAATGCATCATCATCATCATGGTGGAGATCCTCTCGCATGGTCGCTGATGACGAAACTTTTCCTCGCATCAAATTCACTTGTTCTCCTCGGAAGAGCTTGGTAATAGGACAACATTCATCAGCACAAGGTAAATCCTCAGTCGAACTCACAACATTTGTGACTGGCTTGGTCGTGTGTAAAGTTGTTGTTGGAGTGCCGCCCCTTGGCTTGCCACCTTCACTTCCAGAAGAATGTTTGGCTCTCGCCAGTGGCATAAAATCCACCACTTGCCCAACTCCCTCACTCAACAAGAATTTCGTGACCAATACATTCGAGTCGGGAAAGTAATGTTGCTTGTTGGTCGTATCTTCAATTCGAAGAGGATGAATCGAAAAGAAACCACACGTTTCAGGCGTGGAAGCTGAAATGAGTTTGGAGAAGAGAGGAGGAGAATCGAATTGAGGAAAACAACAATAATCAATCGAGCCGTGAATACCTACGAGAGCTGCGGTGTGGCAATTACCAATCAGAGCATAGTCTTCAATATCAGCTTGATGAATGGATGAATCCAAAGTTGAAGAGGATGAAGAGGCAGGTGTTGTAGAGGGTTTGTACATGATGAAATTTGTTGTTCTGTGTTGTGAAGAGTGTAATATTGGAAGGTTGTCGATTCAATTCCTTGTTGGTTGTTGACAATGATGATGTTCTTTTCAGTAGTATATCGGAATTATGTATGTAGAATATCCAGTATTAGAGAAAGGCATCATCATCCCCACAGAATTCACAAGTCAATGAGGAAAATAGTAAATAGTTGGAAATTTACCTTAAATGGATCATTCATATAATTACACTACTGTTGAGCTCAAATAAGCAAAAAAACAATTACAAAATTTGAATTCCAGAAACGTCGACAAGTCCAACCACTCCTCGAATGGCATTAAAGCTTTTGATCATGGTGAAATTATTCAAATCAATGAACCCAAGCTTTCCACGTTTGGTTCCATACGCAATAACATTTTCTTCTACACTAGTCGTGGTAATAGATCCTGACTGCGACGGTTGAATTGCACTAGTTGTTGTTGTTGTTGATAAGGTCGTACTAACACCTCCAAGATCTCTCTCAGAAGAGATTACATGAAGTGTCTTAATGCCATCCAAATTGACTTTAAAAGTTTGAATGGCATTCTCTGCACCTTTTGAAGTTGTTGAGGTGCCATCTTGTAATTTTCTCACATCCCATAATTTAATCATACCATCATTGGAACATGTAAGAAAATGGTTTCCATCTCTATAGAGGCATGAAGAATTACTTTTTGGTTCCAATGTAATAATTTTGTTAATATAATTCGAGTGTGCTTGAGATAAAAATATTGAGGGCTTGTGTTGTCGATGATCCCATCCTTTCAATTCCTTAAAAGATCCAGTTAAAAGGAGTGGTTGTGACAGGTTTAAAAATTCACAGGCGTAAATGTCATCACTGTGAGCTTTATCCCTCACGTTCACACACTTTTCCAAATCCCATTCATAAATACTTGTGTCAGATCCGACGGAAATTAAACTTGGCTGTTGATTATTTCTTAAATTATAGGTTGTAGCTAATGCGTAGACATTTCCACTCTCATGCTCAAATTGTTTTACACATTCAAACGATGATCTTTTCCACACTTTTACAGATTTGTTATAGCTTCCTGAAGCAAATAAATCGTCCAAATTCAGAACACTATTAAAGACATTGGGAAACAATTTCAAACATTTCACTCGATCCTTGTGGGCAATGGCACGAAGTAGCTCCTTGAAAGAATGGCCACCATCTCTTCTCAACTTGACTATTTCTCCTGAATTGAGACCTAGAATAATTTCATCTCGAGATAGAGGCAATATTTGTTCACAAGTTAAATCCGATTTTAGATCTAACAAATACGGCATGTTAGAGACAATATCGAAAGGCCCGGTTTTCTTTTCATCAATTGAAAAAATTCTCAAATTGGAACTCCACCAACTCGAGACCAGTAATAATCGACCACTGGTAGCTGTTGATGATAAATTTTGCTGTGAAGATGATGGAGAAAATGATGAGCTGGAGTCTGTTTTTCGCATGGTAGTTCTCATTCCTTGATTTGAGACAATGTTAAACCGTAAATCATCAACCAACTTCAGCAGCTTTTCGTTTCCTTCTTGCATGATTTGTAAATTATACTGTGAGAGAATGAGAAGTACTTCGTTAACATATGGCTTGAGAGGTTTGGATGATAGTAAATCTTCAATAGAGAGCCTCTTTTTTGGATCCAAGTCAAACATTTGCATGATGAGATCAATCAACTCCATGCATTCAACTTTTTCATTTTCAGTCATCGTGTTACTAATGAGTGCAGTCTCAAGAGAGCTCTTAATTGTGGAATGTTCGTTTCTGTAAGCCATCATTGCAATAGGTTTGGGTACTCCAGTTGCCAACTGATAGATACTGACACCCATAGACCAAATATCTGCATCCAATTGGTAGGCTTCTCCATACATGACCTCAGGTGACATGTAAAACTGGGAACCCACCATGGTGCTGATCAGAGATCCTTCGTTGAATTTCCTTACCGTTCCAAAATCTCCCAAAATAACAATTACAGAGCTGAGTGCTGGATCAATGTGGTTGTGTGGAATGAATGAATTTTTCAAAGCGATTAAAGTGCCAATGAAAATATTTTGTGGTTTGATATCTCTATTGGCGAATGAGAAAGTGGCGTATCAATAATGTATAAATTTCACATAAAAATATTCAATGTTGAAAAATTGTTCACAATAGACTCTTACCTATGCAATAAATTTCTAGAATGAAGATATTGCAATACTAAACATAATTGAATCATGACTGATTTCACTGTCTTGTATGATATATTTCCCTTCTTCTTGTAAATATAATCAGCTAAACTTCCATTTTCATAAAATTTCATCGAATATGCCACACTCTTAATTGATCCTTGTTGTAACGACTGTTCATCGTCAAACGTCAAGAATGCTTCTCTCACTTTCACAATGCACGGATGATCCAGCTCCTTCAGTGCAAAGAATTCGTTCAAATTTTCTGTCACTCGCTTTCCGACCATGGCAGTTTTCGAGGATGACAGAAACGATGATGACATGCCTGTGCTCTGTCCAAGATCAAGACTATCTCCACTCCCTTCTCCATTATTCATTGAAATTCTTTTGAGAGCCAAAACTTCCTTGGTCGATTTAATTTTCACTTTAAACACACTACCAAACGATCCTTCTCCGATTTTGCTTTTAATTTTGTACAAATCCAAAATGTTATTATTGTTATTACTACTTGAACTGGCACCACTAAAACTCGACACGAGTTGTTGAAGTGATGATTCCGTCAGAGTTGAGTAATCATTATTAGGCATCATGATCGGAGGCAACACATGAAATTCCTGTTCTTGTTGCAACACAAGCCTTTTCAATGTGAGTATACTAGAAGAGGATGAATTGGCTTGAAGGAGGGTAGGTCCTCCGAGAGTGAAAGGCTCGCTGGTTCCTGATGATGCAATTGGTGTCTTGATGGTAACAGTCTTCATCAATGACTCCATTTCGGGAGAGGTTGGAAAATCGTTCGTGTTGTTGGAATTGGACATTTTTTGAAGAAATTTCGAATTAGAGGACAAGTTTCAAAATGACAGCTCTTTCTTCAACACTGTATCACATTACTATCCAGCAATTGAGCAATTGTGACAGATAAGATGATAATCAACTTTCAAAGAATAGGTCCTTGCTCGAAACAGCTAATCTAATGTTTATTTACAAAGCAAGAGCTAAAATTAAAGCAATTAGCCCAATTCCAATAACAACAGTTCCAACAGCAATACCTCCAATGATCAACCATCTCTTGGTCATGGACCATTTCAATTTTCTTCCTCCATTTCTCCACAATTCTCCTTGCTCCCTCAATGAATCCGTTTCAACAATCAATTCATGCATCTTTTTATGATTATCCAGAATTGTATCGACATTAATCATCATGGTATTCTTGACTTCTTCAATGGCAAGATGTAATTTCAAAATTTTATCATTCTCTGGATTGTTATGATATTTCATTAAGGCTTGCAAATCCATTGAAGGTTTAAAGGATTTGTTTTCCATAGATTCATGATACTCACGAGACATGGCCTCAATCATACTCCAACAGACACGATGACGAGTGCTCAGAGCAGCGTCTTGTTCATCATGGGTGGAAATCACGACATAATACGTATCCTTTTGGTTTCGTGACTCACGTTTAATATAAAACGTAAACATTTCATGGGTGAGAACCAGTCGATTATTTCGGGAAGATGATCCCAAATTCAATTCTGAAGAGTCAGTTGCGAGTTTAGGAATAATCTTTTGTTCAATGATGGATCGAAGTGTGCGTTGACGAGAAGTTTCAGAAACCACTTGAATGGAGGGAGAAGAACTTTTAGATGGATGGCTTTCACACTCTGCAATTAATGCGTACGAGATGGTCATTGTTTGGTTCAATAGGTGTATGTAGTTGATAAATTTCTTCTTGGTTGTTGCACTTCATGAGTTTTTCGAATTTTTATTTGAAATGCACATCTTTTTCAGGGACAGAAGGAAGCAAGTGAACATTGCACCGCAACGGTAAAAAATTTTTCAACGGTGCAAATGATGAGCTGGATTAATTTAACATTCACACCCAAACCATATGAATAACCATCTGACAAAAAAAGAATACTTTACTCTTTGGGATGTTTTGCTTAGGATTTGTGTATGAATTACAACATGGCGGTGTGGGAATATAGGATTCAAGTTTCATTTTGCTTTCACTTGACAATCAATAATGTCGTCATCTTCCATGTCTTGGTCTGCGGGTGTTTCATTTACATTGAGAGCCATTCCATCGAACATTAACTTGACTTTTGAGACATCTACATTCAGTTGTTTTGCAATGTATTTTGCCACCTTTGAAAACTTGTCTGTCGTGCTAATTTTAACTGGGAATGTCTTGTCTTTTGCCCTAACATTAATGGTAATTTTGGGTGATGCGTCATCAATGACCTCAATTGCCGAAGAGGGCTTTTTTGAGGATGAAGGCGTAATAATTGTCGAAATTGGCTTGGATTTGTCAATTTTGCAATCAATAATGTCATCTGTTTCCATGCCATGATCCTCTGGTGTTGACTTTAAATTCAAAGGCATTCCATCAAATATTAAAGTCACTTGATCAGGATGAGCATCGAATTGTTTTGCCACTGTTTTTTTCAGCTTTTGGAATTTGTCTTTTTCTGTCATGTTGATGGGAACGATTTTCTCATTCCATCTCACTCTAATGGTAATCTTTTCTCCCTTATTCTCTGTATCCTCTTCTTGATCGATCAGTGTTGAATTGTCAAGCTTAAGTTCAGGTTTCAATTCTTCTAATTGTTTTTTGAGAGACTCTTCGAGCCGTTGTTTTTCTTTTTCTGAAAGTTCTGTTGCAGATTTATCGATTGTTTCTAATTTGTCAAATACTGACTCGCTACTGCTTTGCAATAATGTATCGAATTTTCTCTGTAGATCGTTTTTAGAGCGTTCATAAAAGAAATCTCCTGGGCTATATGATGGAAAGGGACTAATTGCTCGAAAGGGGTTCGAAAAAGCAGGTGATCTAACAAACATGCTCGAACTTGATGAAAATGCACTACCAGTATTCCCATATAATTCATTGGTTGATGAAGTAGGAATAGTGCTATAAGTGCTCGTTGCATTTTCTACTGTCGTAGGCGTAAGATCGTCGTCGATTGAAATAATATCCTCAGGAGGAATCGAAGAACTATGTGTATGTTTCGTCCGCTTTTGCTCTCGTCTTTGCTTTTTTTGTTCTAAAATAATTTTCTTTAACTCCTCGTCCGTTGGTTTTCGTTTTTTTTTTGATTCCTCGTCGGTTACTGTATTTCTTTTCGCGTTCTTTTTGTGAAGTTCGTTTTTATACATGTCCACTTGCAACTCCAATAACAAATCGTCATTATTACTCGGTTTTGCTCCCTCCTCTTTGGTTTCAGTTTTTGAATTCGGAGATGTAGTTTTGGTCATTTCTAACAGATTCTTCTTCTTGTTTGGTTCTGGTTGTGATGGCGGAGTATTCGACAATTTCCATGTTGACTGTTTATATGACTTGGCGGCCTTGTGATGAAATAAATCTTCATCGGAAGATGAATCCGAAGAGTCTGATTCCGACGATGCTTTCTTGGCTTGCTGTTTTTTCGATTGTGATGACGCTTTGTTTTTTGGCATTTTTTTAAAAATTGAAACGAAAAAAATTGTTGAAACGATGAATAATTTGCTTAGAAATGAAGATTTTCAAAAAGTTGAGATGATTCTGCACGATTTTAATACGTGCTGTTGAGCTGAGGCAAGTTAACTAAACACATATTATCCATCAAAATAATTGGAAGACACGTATGTTGAACCTTAGAAATTGATCCCAATCTGCTCGTAAAGGATTGGTTGAAAACGCTGCTTTTGAGTGTCGCCTATTACCTGTCATCGTCATGATGATGGTTGAAGATTTTTTGAAAATCAACAATCAAAAAATGGCCAAGACAGGTAGGTGTGTGAATTTGTTGTGTCCATTTCATGATTGGAGTGATGATCATCTTTTCATGATGATCCAATGTATGCTGGACACTTTGAATATATTGATCTTTCCAACATTGAATCATCATTGGCTGTAATATTTTTATATAACTTCTATTCAATTTCATCATTGGCAATCTTCACCTTTACATAAAATCATCATCATCATCAACAACAACCTCTATAGGAATTGAACTTACCCAACAAGCCTTAAACGCCTTCCTCCGAGCAAAATCAGCTTCTGATTCTCTCCTAAGTTCCAACACTACACCCATTCAGCCTTTCTCCCAAGCCGACCAACTCAGATGGCTCAAAGTAAGAATTCTATTAGACCAAGAACCACCCGTGATGGATCTTGTTGAGACTCATCCTCTCTCTTCTTCCATTGAGGATGATTATAACGCCATGTCCGAGAGTTGTGCTCGTGAAGGTGGACTCTTACCTTGTTATTTCTTCTTCCGTTTGGATTCAACTGTTGAAGGCAACTCATCGACCGCCTATGAATGGTTGTTGATTTGGTACGTTCCAGAACGTGCCAAAGTGAGAGAGAAGATGTTATACTCATCATCCATGGCCGGCTTGAAGACTCAAATTGGTTTCTCAAACTCGGTGTATGGTGTTGGATTGTGGGCTGGTGATTATCATACAGTATCATTGGAAGACTTAAAGTACAAGAATTTCAATTTTGTTCACAAGTCACAACGTCATATTCATGATATTGAGTTATATACTGAACAAGAGAGACAAAAGATTATGGAAGAAAAGGAGGCTTTTGATCAAGTTGAAAAGCAGGCAGCATCAACTGTGACTTCTAGTTCTCCAACAACATCATCTACTGCACCCCGAGGTGTTGAATTTCCATTCGAGCCATCTGCACAAAAAGCTATTGATAATTTTGTGCGAGGTTCTTCCATGATGGTTGTTTTGAAGGTTGATATTGAAAATGAGAAAATTTTGTTGTGTCAAGAACACAAAGATTCAAGCCCAATTAGTGTGGACGAATTGAAACAAATGATTGCTGACAATGAGCCTCGTTATATCTTTTTCCATTTTGAATATGAGCATGAGGAGGCAGATTCAAACAAGAAGACAGTTTTCATTTATTCATGCCCAACCAAATCAAAGGTCAAACAAAGAATGTTGGCAAGTGCTAGCAAGTCACACGTTCTTTCAACTGTTACTGCTTCAGATGCTGTCAAGGTTGAAGCAAGTTTGGAAATTTCTGATGTTTCAGATCTAACTCATGATTTCCTTGTAAAGTATCTCCATCCTCCAAAGCAAGAATCAGCCACAAAATTCAGCAAACCAAAGAGGCCAGGAAGAGGAACTGCAAGAGTTGCTAAGGACGAAGAAAAGTAAATCATGATGAATACTAATTCCATCAATCGATCGAGATGAATAAATTATTATTAACATTAATTTTCATCACCAGTAAAAACAAAAAGTATTCCTAAAATTGGTTGTGTTTTATGTTTTACAGTATTAGAGCACACAAACGCTTGGATCCAAATTGTAACAAATTTCAAATATTAAAAAATGTTCAAATTGTTGGTTGGCGTTTCAATGGCAGTTGGTGCCAATCAGTTGTTGTCCTGTGATAATCCTCTCTCGCGAAGAATGCATGCGGACGAAGGGAAGGAAGCATGGGTTGATATTTTCGCCATTCAATTGACAAAGAAAGTTATTGTTATGGCCGATGAAAAGATTTCCATTCCCAAATATTGCATCGAAAATAATCAAAACGATCTTCTCGATGATAATAATGAAAATTCTAATTTAAATCGTGATGATGCTGATGGGAGTGATTCCGATGAAACTTCTTCCAATGATGATCACGATTCTATTGTAAATTTATCAATCGATCAATTCGTACGAGGAATGAAATCAGGCTCCATCCGTTATCATTCATTACCTCCCATACGAGTCATACATCACGGAGCTCGTTACATTTCTGTTCAAGGTAGCGATGCCTATGTGTATGCATTACGGCAACTAGTGCAAGAAGAATTGCCATTTCGGGATTTGAAATTTAGAGCAATCATTCTCAAAGAAGCCTTCGCTCGCGTTCAACTCACGAGTTTACGGGAAAAGTCTCAAGATTCAATAGATAATATTGTATTATACGATTTGTCACAGGTTCAGTTAGTTAACGAACGACCACAAGATTCCGAGGAGGTTTGGCAAAGGACTTACGCTCGAAAACTGAAAAGCAAATCTGAATCATTGAGTTTAGTGAAAGCTGTAGGAGTTGAGCTTTGGTAGGAGCTGTAGGACTCATTCCTACGGCTGTGGTTGGTGGTGTTGGTTATCTTGGCTATAAGGCATACAAGTCCATTTATCCTGATACTATAAGCATTGGTCATGTGCAACCCATCATTCCAAATATTGAAGAGTATTTAGATGAATCACGAAAAAACACACTATTGCAGGTCATGCTGCAATATGAACCAGGAAAGTACAAACCACTGGAAGTTTGTCATGACCAAGGTGTATTTTACACATGTGATATTGAACTATTTTCAATTTATAAGGATATTGTCGATCAGAGAAAAACACTTGGAATCAGGAATGAGCTCATGATACCAGTGAATCATTCTGACCTCAAACTTCGAGAGGTTAAATTATTATTTCTCAAATCTCACTTTCGAAAATTTCAACAACAACAATCTCCAAAGAACAATCTCACAAACACGGAACAAACCAACAACGATCAGCATTCACTGTCTTCCATAGAAACATCCGAAATGGTTATAAACAGCAGTAATATGGCTACTGCTCAACCCAGTGAAGTCAACGAATGCATGGTTTGCATGGAGCAGAATAAGGATTGTGCCTTGAATTGTGGCCATGTCTACTGTAATAGATGTGCCTACGCATTGAAACGATGCCCAATGTGTGACTCGGTAGTGTCAACCAGACTCAAGCTTTACTTGTAATTCCAAATGTACATGTAAGATCTAACTGTAATAATAATTATTGTGAATATTCGTTATTAATTTAATACAAATAAGGAATCAAACATTCTTTGAATCGGACCTTATCATAGAACCAATCGCGGGAGCAAGTTTATCTTTTACAATGTTGAACCTATGGATCGTACAGAGTTTGAAATTCTAAGATACAATTGAGAGATATTCCTGTTATTGGGCTTCCCTCAAAAAATTCTAATGCGACGGTTCTTATCTCGTAATTTTCATGACAATTGCAATCACACGATCCATACTTCATTATTAAAGGTACAGACACAAAGATAATAAGGTTGGTTAAGGTCCGTTCAGTAATTTTTTTCAACTCCTGTCAACAGTCATCAACACAAATGGTCCTTTGGCATCCATCAAAAAACAGCCTCAACTAGAAAAAAAAATGGACATCATTAAATGTGTCTGCATCGGCGATGGTGCTGTCGGTAAGACCAACCTTCTCATCTCTTATACTTGCGAGGGTATTTTCCCTGAAGATTATGTTCCAACCGTTTTAGATAATTATTGTAAAACCGTTGAAGCCGTGGTTCCTCAACAAAAAGTACCATCGGTCATGATGAATAACTCAAATCAAGTACAACAACAACATTCACTGAATGGAGAGGAATTGGCAAAGATGACAATACCTGTCGAAGATTCTAGTAACAATAATAACAGTCATACAAAATCTCCAAATTTGTCAATTACTTCATCCAACGTCATGATGAAAAGTAGTAGTACGGAACCACAACAACAACAAGCTTCTTCTTCTTCGAGCACGACTCAGCAGAATTCTAACAAATTGAATGAAAGTAATATTTCATCGACCTTGTCTTCCACGACGGATGAATTGACCATGGCACCACCATTCGAAAAGGAAGAAACCACTTTTATTTCATTGCAATTATGTGATACTTCGGGACAGGAAGAGTAAGTACTTGACATGTCACAACAATATTTATATGGATTTATTCTTGTTCTAAACACAATCTTTGAACTCGCCAATATTTTTGGAATGACGAAACCAATGGATTGAATCCAACGACAATTTCCCATCGATTTCAATGTCAATGACTAAATTTCATCATACTCACCCCGAATGAAATCCATTATCGACATCACACAACAGATATGACCGTTTACGTTCTGATTTGTCAGATTATGCCTCTGCTGATGTATTTTTATTTTGTTTCTCTCTGGATGATCCTCGCTCTCTTGAAAATCTTCATGCCAAGTGGTACGATGAAGTCACCTCGTATTTCCAAACTCATAAACATCAAGGAGGAGGTGTTTTGTCACTCTTTGGAGCCATTTATTCATATTTCGGATTTGGAGGAGGAACCACTACTGAAGGAGGCAGCACGACCACGGATTCATCCACTATCGTCAATTCTTCTTCATCAGCAACGAATGGTGACAGTCAAGTCACATCAGCAGGTCACAACATTACTGATAATATTCCTCCAATTATTCTTGTAGGAACCAAGTTGGATCTTGTTAAAACAGATTCACAACAGACTTCTCCTAATAATAATAGTAATCAAGAGACTCTGAGCTCAGAAATTCAAATGGCTTCCGATTCCAATCCAAATTCTGCATCCGTATCATCAGCCAATTCACCTTCTTCACTGTCGCCCTCTTTCATGAATCACAAAATTCCAACCGATACTCGTAGACGCAATCAATCCATTTATCACATGTTTGGAAATATTCCCAAGACCAGTGAAAGTCCACAATTGCAAAAAATTAGAGAACATGCACTCAAAGTTAAGAAAGATATTAAGGCAGTGGCTTATGTGGAATTGAGTGCCAAGACTATGGAAAATGTGAATGAAATGTTTGAACAAATTGTCGTTCCAGTTGTGTTAAAGAGAAGACGAGCCATCGAACGAAAACGAAATACCAAATCGGTGACAAGTACTTCATCTTCTTCCTCTCACACAACTTCACATTAATGTATCATTAGGTGTAACAATTTTATAAAATTAATGATGGAATTTTTATCATTTCGAAATTGAGAAGAAAAAAATGATTTCACAATCATCATCAGACAATAACAAACCAACCACCAAAATTACTTTAAAAACGCATTACATTCCCGTTCCATCCTATTCTCAGTATCATCCAGATGAATATGCCGTGGATGGATGGTATCATGAAAAATCCGAAGCCTATCTTGATGATGATTATTATTTAGATATTTGGAATGAATTTGGACCAAAAACATTGAGCAAGAGAAATTTCATGGTGGATGATGTCCATCTCATCAAGATTCCTATGGAAAATAGAAATAAGATCATCATGGTACAGAATAATAGTAATACCAACGTACAAATTTCATCATTGAAAGAATCTACTGGTAGGTCCGGACATGTACTTTATCATGGCAATCAATTCAGATATATTGATCTCGGAGGACCTTACAGTAAAGAGTTTTTAATGTTGGATGAGAAAGTTTGTGATGTATGGTTTGAATATGTTGATAACTATTCAACATGGATCAATGTTCAGGATCATCAAGCCTTTTACAAATATGCAGCTCACATTTGTATTGAGAATTATAGAGTCCATCCAAAGTATTTGCACTATTTCAGAAAAGGACATTTGATTTATGGTTATGATGTAGTGAATCGGTTTATGGTAGCATTGGATGATGCAAATCATGGAGTGGATTTTCATCATGCCTTGTATGAAGGAGAATACTTGACTTACATGTACCCATATACAGACGTGAATTTCTTTGGATTTTTTACATCACTGGGTCGATTTATGTTTCCATCGGGTGATCATATTTTCGTTCTTGATAAATATGAGAATGAACCTTTTTATGCTCGATCATTTATGGCACACGATTCAGGGTTCACATTGTTTTATATCATTAGTCATCGAGGGAATTTATTTCGATTGGAAAAGCATGGAAATAATATTTCACTCGTGAGAGAAGATTCTATCAAGGACAGCCTCTCGTACATGACCAAACTACGCAGAGGAACATGCTTGTTTAAGACGAAAAGTGGAGAGTGGATATTTAATAGTAAGGCTGCCAAGAGCAATTCATTTCCATTTCTCAAATCGAAACAAGTATTTGGACGATTGGAGAACATTCACATGTTGCTTGGATTAAAAGAGAAAGAACGTAGAAAGACCAAAAGCAACATTAGAGGACGTAACATTATTTTAGAAGAAAATTTACTTCCACAATGCATTGATATTAGTGGTGATGAAGAATGTGTCATTGGGTTTTTAATGGAAGATTTTTCGTTCTATGTGTCCAATGTTGCAGACTCCAAGAAGAAGCAATTGAAATTTATGTTTACAAAAATTGATGTCTTGCAATATTTGTCTTCTTTTGGCCTTACGAGATATCAATGGACCAAACCAAGTACTTCCTATGAGCAACGACGGCTGAAAATTTATTTAACTGAAGCTAATTCTAAAAATGTTGTAATCAGAGCCTATGTGGAGAGACGATCAATTGTCACCCATGAATTACTGAGCTTGTTCGACAAACTGCACAGTAGATTGTCAGAGGCATTACAATGTACGGATCCGTTATGTGATATCAAACTCACTACCCAGGAAATAAAAGAAAATTAGGTGTTGAGTTTATTATAAGTTCAGGAAGGACAAGACCGAGTTAATGCCTCCAATCTCATTTCTTTGGGGGTTTGGAGTTACCGATTGTTTCTTAATGGAAAATGTGCTACTATGTTCTGGTGTTCTGTCAACGTTAACTGCAGAAATTGCATTGCCGTTTGTAATTGATGTTGATACGGATAAACTTTTCACATGACCAGGAGGCGTTGGAGACGAGACGGGATAGAACACCATATAGGAGGAACATTTGCAATTACATCCAGCAGGACATGTTTCATGACTCTTAAACCAATTTTGAATATGTTCCACATGCCCACCATGGTTGCAATTAGGACAATAGGAAACGAGTCCTTTCACAGGTATTCTACAAAGCGAGCAATGTAAAAAGGATTTCTTGGGATTCAGCACTCCTGATGAATTTTGTGGTTGATGAGGAGTCAAAGGAGATTGGAGTGGCGTGGTGGTGCTTGAGGTGGTGCTATTGCTTCTTCTTATGCCTCCACTGTTGTCACTGTTGGCAATTGTAGCTGGAGAAACAGATGTCGTTTCTACATCAATCACACATTCTGAGGTTCCGTTCATGAAGCGTCGTGCGGCTTGATTGGATTCATTGTATTTCATAATTTCACATCTCTGTAAATGAAGTCCCCAACTTTGAAGAAGTTTTGCATAACACAATCGAACATGGGCCATCACCGGTTTCAATTCTTTCTCAAGCAAGTCTGTACTGGCAATCAATTCAATGTTCTCTTTGGACATTTCAGAATTGTTTGGAGTAATTGGAATAAAGTCCCACGGACGTGATTTTGGACCAACATCAAAATTCAAATGTGAGTTGAGGATAACATTCGTAGGTTGTGAGCTAGAAGCAATTTCTGAAGAGACCAATTGGTAAGAGAGTTGCAATATACAAGAAATGATGGCACATGTCTGAATATCATGCTTTGAGAGGAAGTGCGACAAGAGTTTTTTCACAAAACGTCTACCTAAAGCATGATTTGACCAAACGGCAGAAGGTTTCACAGAGTTTGATTTCGTTCTATCGTAAAAGAGTCGTGGATCCAAAATGAGAGAGAGAATTTTCCACATCTTGGCAAGATCATGCTTACCCTCTTCGAGACAAATTTGGGAATTGCATAAACACACATCCACAGCACTATTTCCAATAACTCGATATTTTTGAGCAAGGGAATAAGAAACAGGCAACAAGTGCTTGATGTCGTAGGTGTGAATTCTAGGATCTGTTCGAGTGTCATTGAAGAAAATATGTCTCTTTTGATCTGCTGAGAAATTATTACTTTCTTCAGCGTGCTCTTCTTCGCCCATGTATCCATGATTGGAATAGTATGATGTATGTCCTTCTTCACTAGAGTCGTCGTCAAACTCGGCAGAATAATAGGAGTCTTCTTCTGTAGAGTCATCATGATAATCATTGTAGACCGACGAAAAATAATTGTTATCTTGTTCCTTGTCTATATCCTTAATACCATCAATAAGGTCTGACCCATCATGCTTCATATCACTGTTATTACTTAAATCCTGTGAAATAGTCATAGCTTCGTTTATGCTACTATTCATTGAGTTTGTCATGGCATTCTTTAAGTATTTCTTATCTTTTTTGGTGCTTTTTTTTCTTCGTTTTTCTTGAGTTTCGTCTCCATGCTCTTTGCTTCTGCTTTTAATCGATAAGGAGAATGGTGTTTTCAATTCTTGAACCATATCCAAGTAGTATCTATAACCAAAATCTACGTCATTTTTTTTCTTATCATTCTTGTTAGAAATGTCTTCTCTGCTTTTTCTGTTACGTAAACTGCACGAGTTGAAATAAATAAGATCTCCTGACGGAGAGAACCGAGCTCCGCTAATTGGATGTGCAATATAGGTATGCTCGTCTTGTGAAACGGGTTTGTCTTTCAGTAAATTTACAATGTTGTCTGAAGTGTTTTCAGAGGACTGCTGCTTGTCATTGACTTCTTCGTCGAATGTTTTTGAAAAATTGGTTGCCACCAAGTTTGCACTACTCAGAACTTTTGGCATTCCAAGCGAAGAAGGAGAATTGAAAGCGTTCATTCCTATAGTCGTAATACTATCTTGTTCATTTTCTCTGCGCTCTCTCCATTTCATCTTTCCCAAGATGGATACCAGAGATCGGAAGCAACTTAGCATACAGTTGTGATGTTTCAAAACATCATCATGTGCAGCTGATGTCAGAGCTTGTTTGATCGTCTTCAAGTCTTGCACGGAAATAAAGGATCGAGATGGAAGAAAATCAAAGGATGGAGCAGCGTTAATAGGATAGAGTTTAGGGAAAGTGATTTTTAGCTTTAGATCGTTAATAGCAACTGGTAAATTTGGAGAGCTAGCTGCCCTAATAATCATGATAATACCTAGAATGCAATACCGTGCTTGCTCGCTCTTATCCATCTTTTCAAGATTTAACTTTGTCTCACATTCTATGTTTTCTGACTTTTCGTTCTGATTTGCCTTGACCCTGGTGCAAAACTTCAAATTATTGAAAACAGAGATTATTTTTTCAATTTCATGATCGAATGTTAATCGTGTCACAGGACTTCCTATAACGGTTTGATCAAATAACGCAGATGGATCTGTTTCAAAAATATGATCTGGAATACTCGTGATGCTCCACTCGTTTCCTAACAAATGAAGACTCATCATACCGATTGGTGATCTTGAAGGAATGAAATTCTTATCTAAGCTACTTGAATTGTTATCCTTGCTATTGCTGGCTGAAGTAAGGCCATCAGCGTTGCTCGTCAAATCTTCGATAATTTGTTGTGTAAAATTCCAAAATCGAATACTCAAATCTTTTGACCACGTTACTAATTGATGTTGATTATTATTTTCGATCGTCCTGAAATCGAGACACTTAATCTCGTCCGTATGCCCCGAGAAAATACTGATGTTTTCTATAGGTTCAATAGTTGAGGCAGAAGAAGTAGATGGGCTTTCTTTGGGTATGTGATTAGTTGATCCTCCTTGTGGATGATTTAATCTCCAAACTCTTACTTGGTTATCTTTTTTAGAAATTGATACTAATCCTTTTCCAAATGGTGTGTATTTAATTTTCCAAACTGGGAATGCCACACGTTGAGACATTATTGTTTGATGTTGTTCATAGTCCCATACTTTGATAAATTTATCTTGTGATCCTGCAGTCACTAGTTCTGTTGCGCTTGTTGGGCTCCAATCCATAGAAGAAATTAGAGGATGGTGAGCTGAAATGAAAGTTAGGAATTTGTTTGTAGGTGTTGTGGATGACGTGCAAGTTCTGATGTCCCAAATTCTGACATCCACATTGTGTGCAGATGCTATTATATGTGAGTCGATTGGATTCCAGGCAACTAGGCTTGGAATATCTGTATATGAAATGAAGCTTGCGACTTTACATTGGGTTCTAAAATGTTTTTTGAAGAAAAATTGTAGTAAAATTTAGAACTAATTATTTTCAAATTGTTGAAAACTTACGAAGGCAGTCTGGTATCCCAAATATTCACATATCCATCACCGCTACAAGTTGCAATCTTTGAATAAGATGCATCATGAGGACACCAAGAAATAGCGTTGATACTTCTCTGATGCGCTTGAAAAGATCTGTTTTGTTCAACTTCTGCAGTGAGTGTTGGTTGATTGTTCAAGAAGCCACCAGTGCTAGTGAGAGATGATCCCAAAACCCCTCCTGATGAATTTATAAATTGAGAATTGGAAGACGTTCTTCCTCTGACTCCAGATGATCCACCAGCAATGGTTGCAGATGAAATTGATGACAACGAGGAATTTGAACTCATGGGACTATGCAAAGTAGACGAAGAAAGAAAGCGAGTGGTGTCCCATATTTGAAGTACATCTCCGATACTACAAGCTAATAGTGGCCTATTGAAATCATGACCAAACTGAACACTTAACACCTCATTCTTCTTACTCTTTTGGAGGAGCAGGGTGGGTTGGGACGAAGTATTGACAGTAGTAGAGGTGACGGAAGAAAATTGTGAATTGGTGCTGGTGAGAGAGGAGGAGAGATTTGAGGATGATAGAGAGCTGTTGTTACTACTGGGTGTTGGCAATCGAAACACTAACAAGCCGTTCCGACTACATTATGTCAGATAATATAAATTAATTTAAAATTAAAATAGTTAATTAACAAGAAGCACTAACCGCATACTCACCTTCCCAGAGCCATCAATTCACCACTAGCATCAATGGAAAGATCATTTACACCTTGAACTTGCCGAAGAGAAAATTTTGTACTTTCTTCATTGCGGGCCGAGTGTTGCCTATTATTATTATTATTATTTGAAGATGTGTTCATTATTATGTACGGATCGTTTGAAGAGGGATCTTTTGCTGTATATATTTAAATTAAAATGGTTGATGTTTTGTTTGTAGATGATTCTTTATCCGAAGAAATATCTTGATGAATAATTATTGTTGTGGTCAATCAATTTTCAAGAGGTCTGAGAAGGATCAATTCAGATCATACAATGCACTATGTGTTTCAATGTACAAAACCAATAATATCACTATTCGTGGGATGATGATGCCAACACCCAAAGCCTTCGCTTGCACTTCCGAAATGTGATCCGACGACCGTGTATCGTTTGAACACAATATTTTTTGCGAGTTTTTTATTGGAATTGGTTTCAGGGCTTCAAAGAGTAAAGGCGTTACCAATTCAATGGGCAGGGGTTCTTTTTTTTAAATAAGGCTGAATCACATAAATAGAAACGTATGGTTGATGAATATAAACAGAACGTTTGGTTTTGGAGACATTAATATATTCATCTTAAGATGAATATCGTTTAGCTTCAATGAAACGAAAATGAACTGAATATACTTCCAACATCACAGTTAATACACTTCTTTCTGTTGTTGGTAATTCGAGGTTTGATTAAGGAAGCAATGAAAAATTTCATCATTTATTTAAAAAATGATAAAACGAGCAGCAGCACTCGGAATTAGAACCAAACATCTGCTTCAATCCTCATCACATACTGGTATTTGGAAGCCGGTTCGGAACAGTGTTTGGAATAATAGAATATTGGATTTAAGTCTGTTCTCTGATACTACTGCGAAGAGACATTTTTCATATCGCACTACTCCACATAAAGCTGCTGAAAATACGATCACGTTTTCTGATGATTTAGATATTAAATTCTCGTTTGATTATCGGAATATATATCCTATCATTCATAAAGTAAATGAGAGTAATATTCAGTTTGTATTTGATGCATCAAAAAGACAACATTTATTGGACACTCTCGAAATTGGAATGAAAATTTTGTTATCGTCCAATGCAGAAGAAAAGGTCTCACTGACTCATCATGCACATTTTTTACCTTCCGACAATGATACACCCAAAGACATTGCCACTAGGTCTATAAGCAATTCTCTTGACGAGGGATTTGAAAAACAACTCTCAGAATTACGAAACAAGTATTTGAACGAATTTTGTGGAGAGCATTACATGCCTGGACGGCCTGAAAAACCACTGTTAGTTGAGGACGCGAGACAGCTCCCAAAAAGCTACAAACAAGCCAAAGTTAGTTATCCTATACTTTTACTTCACAACATGGCCCATATTGAGCTCAATGCAATAGACCTCTGTTGGCATACGTTGATCATGTGCCTATTGAACCCAATTATGGGAAAGTGTAGCAATGTTTATAACGAATCTAGTGAAATAGCATTCCATAGCACAGAAGAGTCTCAACTCCATCTTTTTGATTTTATGAACGATTTTATTAAAATTGCCAAAGATGAGGCAAGACACTTTACCGACCTTTCCGAGAGATTGAATGCACTAGGTAGCTACTACGGTGCTGTGACGAGCCATAAGGCTATATGGAATTTGGCCCGAGACACTCAATATTCTCTCCTTGAGCGAGTGGTTATTGGCAATTGTGTATTGGAGAGTAGAGGACTTGATTCTGGAGATCGCCACATTTCCAAAATGACAGGTTGTGGTGATATGATTTCATGTAATATTGTTCGAACAATATGCCAAGAGGAAGAAGATCACGTACGAATTGGAGTGAAATGGTTCAACAACATTTCACAAGTACTGTTTAAGAATTTGGAGGGGAGTGTTGTTGAGCTGCCGTCATCATTCGAAAATTTCCAAAAACAATTATTTCAACAAATTGTTTTGAAGTATTACGGCCCTCTTCCAGGTCCATTCAACCACCAGGCCAGAACCGCTGCAAACATGCATATGGATTGGTATGAAGAAATTTCACGGGAAAAGATTATGAAAAAGTAGTAATGGTGGCACTATTAGTCGTTTGGAGTTGACATGGTATCAAATGTTACATTCGCAAAAGCATATATACATACCTTATGTCTGCTTTTCGACCAGTATTTTTATTTACATTGAAGCTCGAGAAAATTATTTCTTTTGAGGAGCAGATCCTTTAGATGTTTCTCTAATATTTGCTTTAAATTGTACAAGGTGATTGGCGAACAATGTCTCCTCACAACTCTTTTTTGGCTTATGGGAATGTGTGGTTCTAAGTGAGGTGTCTTGTTGATGGAACCATCCCACCGTTTGTGCGCTTGTTTGTGGCTTGGAAAATCGCTCTGTAGGTTTCTTGGCAAGGTTTTCTCTCGTCTCTAAAAACAAACGATCTTGCTCTTGAGCCGTTCTGAGCATTTCTTCCTTCTCCGGTGTGGCTGGCTTTTGACTCTTTGAAAGAAGATTGTTGACAGGCTCACCTACGGTCTGTTCAAATTTTTCGATTTGTTCTGGTGCCAATCGCGAAATTATACTCTCGATCAGTGCTTCGTCCTTATCTAAAAAATGTTTTCCTCTCTTATTGGGCTTGTCTGTAACCACGTCAACTAGTGGTATTCAAAAAATTAAGAATCATAGAATTATGTAGTGTCACGATGATATTTATAACATAAATAATCGAATAATTCCAATAACCGTTATTAAAATTATAGTCATGTTGGAAATATTTCTAAAATTTACGAGAACATACTTCTTCCAGGATGAGTTGTATATTCCTCCTTCAGTTTATAATGCTTGTGCTCTTTCTTAAATGTTTCTGTATAAATTGAATTCAAAGCCACGGCATCAAATTTATCGGCCCATGATTTTCCTGTTGTTGCCTTTCCTGACATGATGAATTTTACTTCCGACAATATTTACAGTCAATATTTATCAGCTGTATTCAATATAACTCTAGAGAGAGATGAACACGATGTTTCTCCAACGATGAATCAATATCGGAACTGTTGAAAGTCGATATTTTTTTTCTTTAAATAACTGTAAATTGATCAGGCGCCATCTAGAGCCACATATACCAGCGCAAAAAAATTTGACAAAACAAATATTTTGCAGCTGACCACACCGATTTTTAATAGAATGCCTTCACGATCAGAAACATCAAAAAAAAACACAAAACGTCGATTTTCATCCAAGAAATAACAAACGCCATCAACGGGTTTCATCCAATCATATAAAAACATAACAAGGTAGATATATCACATTATAAAATTATTACTCTCATATTTTGATCATCATCATCATTAATATCATATTATATATATTTTAAATCATCACACCGTTAAGATTGAAAATGCCACCAAAGAAACCTTCCTCCACAACACCCAAGAAACAAGCAATACAGGCCATGGTCTCCCAAAAGACTCCTCGCCGTTCTGTTGCCTCTTCTTCTTCTTCCTCCGAAGATAGAGAAGCACCCAAGATTGAAACCATCACTCCACGCCGATCCACCAGTAGTAGCAGCAGCAGCACAGTCTCCTCCTCCAAGAAGGAACCAACGTCATTGACAAAGATCTCCAAGGCAGAGCCATCGTCCTCCTATAAGGGTACCCGTATTCAGAAAGCAGGCAAGAAGAAGGCAGAGGCCTCATCCAGTCAGAAACGACGAAAAACACCAGAGGAATTGCAACAAATTAAACCATCATCGATCAAGAGATGTGCCCGAATGGCTGGAATCATGCGTCTTGGAAGGGATCATTTAGCCATGGCACGTGAAATTATTGATAGCGACCTTGCTGAGGTGTTGAATAAGGCAGCAACATTGACACTCTACAAGAAAAGGAAGACCATACAGCATGTCGAGTTGGCAAAAGTTGTTGAGAGTTTGTGGAGAATCAAGTTGTATCCATTTGCTGATAAGAATGTAGATTATGCTTCTGCATTGGATGACAATGAAGATCTTGATAAAGATTATACTGAGAGTGATGAAAGTGATGCAACTCACGAGAGTGAAGAAGAAGAAGATAATTGAACGAGAAATGTGACCATGTAAATAGTTGATATCAACCCATATATGTGTATAAAACAATAATTATTTCAAATTTTGTAAACGGGTTAGAATTTTGTTATTGTAATTTGTTCAAGACAAAGAGCTTGAACTTAGTGAAAACCAATTAAATCAAAGATACTCTCTCTTCAACATGATAGAACCCATCGCTGCCATTGGGTCCTTTCATTCGACACAATAGTATTTCTCCAATGGTCTCAATGCCTTGATCCGTAGCTGAAGCTCCAAATACAGTGTCAAATTTGTGACGATACAGATACTCTGGGAATGCTTTTGGTGAATTCTTCTTTTTGGATTTGCTCGTTTTTGCAAGAGTACAGTGAATTTGATTATTGATGGTAGCATCAACCTTGATATGATTTTCCTTAAGTTTTTCATAAATACAAGTCGACAAATCTAAAAAGTTTTTCTGTCCTAGTTGGTGAGTAAAGCTTGGCTCTGAAAAAATCACCCTTCCCTTCTTGAATGCTTTGTCTTCAAATGTATGAACGCCAGATAACTTGAAAGAGAAAGGAAATTGTTCTAAATTATTTTGCATAATTTTCTTCAAGTCCTCTTGACAACTTTTAAAGATTTGAATACAATTGTTCAGATCATCTTGTGTATCGAGCGTCAAGACAAACATGGTAAAGTGCATCTTTTCACGTTCAATGAGATAATCTTCCAAATCAAATGCTTGATCCGTCTGACTTGTTGATTGAATTCTATTCTTATGTTCAAGTAATGCGGAGGCTTGCCAACTCATGACATCATCCAGAATAGATGTTGAATTGATTTTTACTGCAAAGAAGTGAGTGGGTCTAGAGTCAACATTATTGGATGATGAATTTTTATGATAACCTCCTCGTCCACCTCCTCGTCCTCCACCTCTTCCTCCGCCTCTTCCACCTCCTCTATAACTGTTATTATTTGATGATGAACTCATTTCCTTATTTGATGATCTATACAGTAGAGAATGAAAACTTCTAGCAAACCAAGGTTCCGATCTCCAATAAAAACAAGAATTGGTTGTTAACTTTAAGTGTATTAAATGATAATCAATCACGTGGCAATGATGATGACGATTCCGAACAAGCAATCGTTGAATATTTTTTAAAGTCATTTTTTGTTTTTGCATTTGATGGAAACTCTTTAAGGATTTCTGAAATGGTGAACCTTGAAACGTTGATGATGGTTCAAGGTGGAAATTGTGGAATCTCACATGATCTGTGAACACGAGTGAGTTCGTGTTATGTGAAAAAGTGTGTTCAAGAAAGATGATATTCATCAATCCTTGCATGAAATCAATGACAGAAATACATTGATTATTATGTTCAACTATATCATACATGAATGTAATATCAACTCTCAATAATCGCTCGCTTTCATTAAAATTTCAGCCAACTTGTTCAAATATTTTCCATCGACTTCCATTGAGAATTGATCCAAAGCAGTCGAATCAACATCAATCAATCCAATTAAATCCTCATGTTCTTTTGCTTCTTCTGAATGTAATTCTGTTCTTCTTCTTGTCAACATTAATGGTACACAAATTTCAGAATTGGATGCACTGTCACATGCAATATGTCCAGAAAATTCATGAACATTTGGAACACATTGAATTTGTTTAGACACAATACAAGTTCCACACACTCCTTTTCCAAATTTAATTCGAGTACATGCGAGTTTACCATGAAATGGACCTAATACTAATTCTTGTTTGGATAATTCCAATATTGAATTCTTTTTCTGATCAATGAGATAGAAACCAAACCAATTGATGGGATGATTGAATTCATATCGAAGTGTGTGATAAAAAAGAGAGGCACAATTGGCGAGATTGGCTATTAAATTTCGTTCTCCACTCACGACACTTTCAATTTCTGAGAGAAGGCGTTGATAAGTCTCTTCCGAGATGGGTTTCTTTTCATCGGCTTGATGATATGTGTGTGAAGATTTCATCGATGGAGACTTTTTTTTCAAGATACAATTATTCTCACCTACTTCAATCGTTGGGATCTAGATTTTTGTGATTCTGAACATTTTCAAGGTTTTATGAAATTCCAAAAGCACTCTCAAGAAGGTTCTTCAAAAGACATGAAGATTTATTCAAGAAAAAAAATGAGTCAAAAAGCCATTGCGAAATTACGGCAACTTCGAACGTCATCCAAGAAGCAAGAGCTGAACAAGGCTAGCACTGCTCGGGTGAAATCGGAAAAAAGAAATGGAGAAAAGAAGAAGGATGAAGATTTTGATGAAAATTTTTTTAGTTATATGAATGACGATTCCTCGGATGATGAAATGTTGTCTTCGGAATATAAATTTGATCCATCCATCTATGGACAAGTACTTGGAAAGAAGAATGATAAGGAGAGTAGTGTTTTTGAACTTGCAGATGAAAATGATAGCGAGGAGGAATTATCAAGACATTTGGTGTTTTCAACAAACAGTGATAGCGACGATGAAGAAGAACTCCAAGTAAAAGACCTCAAGAAAAACAAAAAGAAGCAAAAGAAGGAAAAGCAACCAAAGCAGCAAGTTCATACGGAAGAAGAAATGCACAATGTTGAGGAAGCTGACGAAATGGAGGATATTCCACAATCTTCATCTGAAAACTCCACCACGAAAAAATCAAAAGATGAAAATGAATGGACAGAAACTGAATTGGTAGAAATGGACAACAACCAGTCAAGTTCTTGGAAAAAAGTGAATTTATCTGATGAAGACGCGTTTGCATGTGAAGGATTATATTCACTTGAAGTTTTAGATACCGATGACGATAGTTACAAAGAAATCATGAGACAACTTTACGGAGATAATTATGATAACAGCACAACCACGTCAGCACACAAGAAAGAAAACAATGAAGAAGACGACGGTGAAGACCATGAAACAACTGATACCAGAACTGAGGAAACAAGTAATAGTAGAACACCTGAGGAAATAAGAAAAGAACGTAATCGAAAGAAGAGAGAGCGAAAGAAGAAAGCTCAGGAAAAGAAACAAGCAGCTGCTGCCTCCAGCAACAAAGATGACAGTACCACCGATGAAAAACAAGAAAATACTGAAGAGGGCACTGAGCAATCAGAAGAAGATGCTGAAGAATCAGAAGAAACCCCAAAGCAATCAGCTCCCCAAGAATCAAAGACAGAACCTGAAAAGAAAAAGAAGGAAAAGGCAGCGGAGCTGAAAGTTGTCAATCAAGATGCTGATTCCATTTCATTGGATGAGTTGAACGAAAAGATGAAGGCATGGAATTTTGATTCTCAAGTCACACTCCATGAACAAATTATTCGAAATTTATATCGATTGGGTTTTTACACACCAACGCCCATCCAAGAAGCATCTATTCCAAAGGCCTTAGCGGAAAAGGCTGACGTTTTAGCAGCAGCAGAGACTGGATCAGGTAAAACTCTTGCGTTTGCTCTTCCAATCATTGAGGAATTACTTCGATTGAAAGAACAGGGCGAAGATTCCTTATCTAAATTTGAAGACACTTCTGCAACAACAGGAGTTGATCTTAATGAAATTGGTGTCAACAAGAAGCGAAAGAAAATGTTACGTGACGTGAAAAAAGACATGTTCCGACTGAAATCTCTCATTTTGTTACCAACAAGAGAATTGGCAGTACAAGTTTCCACCCATATTCAAGCAGTGATTAGAAATACTCCTATTAAGGTTGTAAGCTTGCTAGGAGGCCTAAACGAAGAGAAACAAATCAGAGAGATTCATGTTTTAAAGCCAGATATTATTGTAGCAACTCCTGGAAGATATTGGTATTACATTGACAAGGGCATGTTTGCTTCCAACTCTATTCTTGGTCTTCGATTTTTGGTGATTGACGAAGCAGATCGAATGGTTGCAGATGCCCACTTTTTCGAATTACAATCCATTTTGAGATATATCACTGTAGAGCGATTCAAGAGAAGTCAACAAGCAAATATTTCACCTGAAGACGTTCCCTCACTTCGAAAGTTTATCTCATCCGCCACACTCACCTTCATTGATGACAAGTGGAAACAAAAACTTCAAGACATGTCACAAGAAGAACAAACAAAGCTTCAAACCAACTCAAACAACTATACTTCTACATCTGCCGACGTGGATGAAGATGAAGGAGAGGAAGAGGAACCACAACCTGAAGAGTCAAGTTCTGCAGACAAGAATCTGGACAAACAAAAGAAGAAAAAGAAGAAAGAAAGCAAAATTCAAAAGATTATTCAAAAGATTTTGGCCATACTTGACATGCAAAATCCACTCATCGTGGATCTTACTACATCCAATCTCCTCGCTCACACTCTCCAAGAAGCACACATTGAAAGCACAAGAGAAGACAAAGTCCTATATTTATACTACTTTATCACACTCTATTCTGGTCGTACAGTGGTTTTCACTAATAACATTAAGGCAGTGAGATTTATCGGAAATGTTTTAAAAGAATTATTTATTAAGGGACCCAATTCAGGTGAAACAAAAACTTCAATTGTTTCGCTTCATGGTAAGATGGACCAACAAGCAAGATTTAAAAATTTGGAAAAGTTCAAGAGACAAGAAAATTGCATTCTCATCACAACTGATGTGTTTGCTCGAGGTATTGATATTCCAGATGTGGAAAATGTGGTTCACTTTAATATACCTGCAGATACCAAGACGTATATTCATCGATGTGGTCGTTCAGGACGTGCCGGAAAACAAGGTTTCAGTTTAGCAATTGTTGCTCCAGAGGAACGTAAACAATATTTCCACATTCTTCGTGACACCCAACGAGAAGAAACTGGACTACCAACCTTCCCAATTTCTAACCCTGATTTACTGGAAGTGTTACGTAAGCGTATTCGTCTTGCCATAGAAATTGTAAAGCTTGAAGAAAAGAAAGCAGCCAAGACACAAGAACAAGATTGGTTCACAAAACAAGCCAAAGCATTGGACATTGAATTAGATGATACCTTCTTTAGAGATTTGAAACGAGACCGTGATTCAAAGATGAAAGGGCTCTCCAAACAGCAAGAACAAAATCTTTCAAGAATGAAGAACGATCTATCAACTCTGTTGAAGCAAAATGTATTCATGCAAACGAAAACAAGTCAAAGTGGATCCTCTCGACTTTTCACAGTGGGTGATCCAGAAGTATTGATTTAATTAAGGCACGATTAAGCTCAGCAAGAACAGAGAGAGCTAGAAGTGATTTGGAAAGACAAATGGCTGCCGATGAAGACAAGAAGCAAAAACAATCAGGAGAAGGTTCTAAAAAGAGAAAGAGAAAGTCAAAGAAAGTCAAAGACAGTAAGAAGGTAAAACAAAATGTCTCTAACAATGATGATGGTGACATGGAAGATGATGAATAAATTAGTTAAGTTCTTTTGATAATTTTGATGTATTATATTTTTTGGCGTCAAAGTGTTGACAATTTAGATGTCTTAGGCTTGTTTGGCAATGTAATAAACTGCAACGTATTCAAGTGTAAAATTAAAATTCAATAAATCGATTCATGAAATCAATTTAGAAAATTAAATAACGCAATTTAAAATAATTTCTCTGTAAATATACTCATGATCCAATACCATCACAAACGTACCATTATTTCCTCTAATAAAAGCATCTTCATAATTTCCAGTTAACACCCCGTCCACATATTCCTTTGTCTGTTCCAAAGCCACATTCATATAACCATCCAAACAAGTTAAAATTCCTCTATATTCCGTTCCAGAATTCAATTTTACAATCACTGGTTTTCCGACAATTTCACTTCGTAAGAATTGTGTCGGATCAACATTACTCGATGATGGTGTAGACATTTTTATTATTAAATATTTTTAAAATCATTCACACGTTCTGGCTGCAACTTTATTTCTTAGAGCACTTTTATTCGATCACGACGGATTCGAATTGAGGACGGCTCGATGGGTGTGAGAGGATCTTTCGTTGACAGTTCTGAAATTCTAGGATGGGTTTCGATCGACCTGAGGTAGCTAGTATACTGTCAGACTCCTCATGACCGATTAGTGTCTCAGTATTCAACACAACAATAATTTATATAAGAACCTCCCGCAAATGTATTATTTATAATGTACAACACATGACTCTCAAGACAAGTAACAGAAAAGACCAATATCTGCCTTAAGATGCTGGAAGTTACGGAACAAGGCATCCTTTCTTTCTGTAAATAGACGATACAGGACTGTATTTCCCTTAGCGAATCGTATCAAAGTGAAAGGATCTTCTATAAACTCCATAATATTGACCCAGTATTCATCTGCCAAATCTGAAAATTTAACATCAAGGTTTTCAAATAGTTTGACTGTAGGTTGCGAGTAGTCAATGGGTGTCTTTGGAAGAAGCGAGCAAAACGATGCCGGATTATTGTACCTTAATACAATATCACAAAAAAATGAAATATGATCGTATTCATAAAAAACCCATTCTTCCAATGTCTTGTTCTGTTCTACAGAATTTTCAGTTTTTCGTTTCTTTGGGTTATTCAAATAATTGTCTTTGTAATCTTTCATGAAGGCTTCTTGCAAAATATTTGATGGAATGCCTCGAATTTGACTACAATGACCCAATCGTTCACTAAGTTTTGCGACACGTGAGGGATGAACAAAGCCCATACCATAATCAGTCTTGTCATTGTAAAACTGACATATAGTCAATAAATTAGGATATCTCATATTTTCAATTGCTACTTGTTCTTCGGATTTAGTGCCATTCTTTGCCTCATATTCCTCAGCTAAATCTTGTTCAAACAAAAGCTCTGAGGCCAATAACTCTTCGAATTGTGTTTCATCGGACCAACAGTTCTCCAATTTCAATTTTTCAGCCAACTCACTATACATATGTGTAGCTCTATATCTAAAAGTATCAATATATATTTGAGGCTGTTGATGGTACAAAAATTGTTTCCAATCATTTTCCGACCGCAAATTCCACTCATCATCCTCATCATCATCAACCTCATCATCATCCGCAACCTCATACTCATCATCCTTCTCAACCTTTTCCTCGACTTTATTGTCCAATCGTTTCCGAACTAATGCAAAGATTTTTGAATTAAATCGTAAAAATGGGCATGTACGAACCTGCCTCTTCCAACAGACGTAAATTGAACATGATCACAGTAGTATCAACACCCATTTTTTTATCTTGTTTTTTAAAAGCAAGTTTCACGAAAAATCGAGAGGCTACTTGAACCTGAATCAAGTTCAAAGCATGTTCGACCGGTAGTAGTTGCTGTCATTGTTTGAAAAATGTTTATTAATTCAAAAATACAAATACGAGGAAGTCTTTCAATTCTTTCGAAATATTGAATCAAGAGAGACGCTTTGGTGGCACACCAATGATACGTGTCATTCCAACCTTTAAATATAACAAACTCTTCCTTAATCACATGAAACATCTTCATCTAATATCTGTTTTGAGTGTATACTACATCTGATTTTAAGGTTTACAACAAAGTATGTTTAATAAGATCACACTAGTGAAATTGGTTAAAAATAATCAAAAAATAAAAAATGGAATCTTTGAAACATAAAATTTCAGAGGTGGTTCATCACTTCATCGAAGAAAGTACATCGGAAGAGCAAGGAACAAGATTTAATCATCATCATCAACAAGAACATCCTCATCAACACCAAGAAACAACAGCTCATCATGAACATACATCATCCTGCTCTCAGGTCGTTCATCATCCATGCGATCAATCTACGAGATTTAATGAGAATAATCATCATCATCAGGATCATGCTTCATCGGAAGAGGAATATCCACATCATGAACATCATACAAGCCAATCAACAAGAATGGATCATCATGAAGCTCCTCATCATCCTCCTCACCATGAAAAGTAATCATGATCTCTCTCTGTAATAATTTTCAAAAAATTAAAATACATAATCGTAATTGAAAAACATCTATATCATAGAAATGTTAAAATTATTTGGACTTGATTTTTTGTAATTGAGTGGTCAAATTTTCAATCAACTTGTCATAACCACCCAATTGCTCACAACAATGAATAGCCAATTTGATCGTTTCAACATTATTTCGCTCAATGGCAAGACTTTCTTCACATGCTTCTAGTGCCTCATCAAACATTTGTAAATCCCTAAAATTCATGGCAATGTTATCCCATGCTTCAAACAATTTTGGATGAATTTTCAAACATTGTTTGTATAAGGCAATTCCTTCTTCCAGATCGCTACAATTCAGTGCTTGATCAAAGAGAGAGGAATACTTGTCATAGACCTCATCAAAAGTCTCTACCTTATTATTGATGAGCAAAAATCGAGTATAATCCGTAAGTTCCAAATATGTGAGAAATCCTCTGAGCTCTGATTCTTGAACAGATTGTTGACCGTAGAGAATAAATTCAGAGCTTGACGTTTCGTCTTCTTCTTGAAAGGACATGACCGAATTCAACGGGGAATGCATGATTAACAATTTACAATGTTTTGAAAGGTATTCGCTTTGAGCATCTGTCCATGGTTGCTTTCGAATCTTGTCTAACATTTGTTCCATATGTTTGGTTGAATGGTCATTCTCGTCTCTTATTTGTGAATTAATTCGCGTGCAAACTGCTTGGTAAATGGTTTGTGGATTTGCCTCGAGAAGTGTTGTCCATCCTTCAGGAGGTTCAATTTTACTGGTTCTCAGAGAGACATGATAACAATAATGATCATCACCTAATGAATCAATTTCCAGAATTTTGGTAATCAAGAATGAATGAATGTGGTCATGATTCGACGAAGTTTCTCGTTTAATAATGACATCTCCCTTTTGAAACAAGTGAGACATTTTTCTGTGTGGAGTAAATTCGTTTTTGAAATTGCATCAGAACAAGAAAGGACATTATTCTTGTTGTAAATTATTAGCGAGAATCATTCATTAATGCATTGTCGTCTAGATACCACGATGGAGGCCTACAATATTTTTCACTATTTCGAATACTTTCCAAATCATTCTTTTTGAATAGGTCAATAAATTCCACTGCACGATGGAATACTTCCTTAGAGGTCAAATCATCGACACCAATCACGACAAATTCCTTTCCACTCTTCACAATATTATCCATTTGTAAATTTCTGTACTTCATATAATATTTCCAAATCAACGAGTCGAATTTTTGTGAAAATTCATTAAAGTCATCTCCTCGATTGGGATGTTTTGTAACGGTTCGATTCCATCGACGTTTTTTAGCAACTTCTCGATCGGTGGTGTCCAAGAAAATGATGGCATCAAAACATCGTGTGACCACCTCTTGTTGACAACACGATAAATAGCCTTCTGCAAAGAGAAGACGATTATTTCTGTATTTGGAGAGCATGTTGTTGATTTCGGTTTCAAATTTGTTGAAATCCACAGATTCCATGCATTCCATATTGCCTTTCAGTTCTGGATCCATTTTATGTTCATCATTCATTTTGCTATTAATAATGGAGAGAATTTAGTACAATTGCCAAAGAAAATATATATTACCCTCAATCACCTACCTCCGATAAAGGTCTTGACAAACTGACACCACTTGATAATGTTTATTTAGAGCTTTGGCCAATGTTGATTTTCTAAATGTATGAATTGTAAATCCGAACACAAATAATGATATCGATCAACAAAATCCAACATGCAACATTGGACGACCTACCCCGACGATGTGGATCCACAAATACAAATAACTGTTGTCTTTTCTGCGTAATAGAGAGTTTCTTGTTGACACATTTTTTGAGTTGTTGTAAGTCACATCGTTTGCTTATTAATCTTCTTCAATCGTAATTTTCGGAATTGAACCAGATTCATTTCCTTCCAATCGATCCACGACACGTCTTGCTATTTTCACAAAGGCAGCTGCTCGTTCACTTTGTGGATCTGAAATCACAACCGGCCTTCCAGCATCACTGGTTTCACAAATTTGAGTATGTAAAGGAATTTCGCCAATGAATTCCAGTCCCATTTCCTGTGCAGTTCTCCGAGCTCCATTATGACCGAAAATGTGTTCTTCATGACCACAATTTGAGCACTTGAAATAGCTCATATTTTCAACAACCCCGAGAATTGGTACAGACAATTTTCTGAACATATTGACGCCTCGTCTAACATCAATTAAAGCAATGTCTTGTGGTGTGCTCACAATAACAGCACCAGAAAGTTGAACTCTTTGGCAAATAGAAAGTTGTGCATCTCCTATTTGTTGTTTTGCAATGAAGGATGCATAGTACCAAATAAATTGAAATTACAACATCGGTATTACAACATTGGTATTACAATATTGCATCACATGGTGACAGATCAAATAAAACTCACCTGTTCCAGGAGGTAAATCAATAACCAAAATATCCAATTCACCCCATTCCACTTGAGTCAATAATTGATCTACAGCACCCATCACCATAGGTCCTCTCCAAATAGTTGGTGCATCTTCTTGAATTAAAAATCCCATACTCATCACTCGCACTCCATAATTCGATTTAGGAATGATTTTTCTTGTGTCTTCATCCATGTTTGGCTTTCCACTCACATTCATCATTCGGTGAATGCTTGGGCCATAGATATCTGCATCCAGTAAGCCTACCGATTTTTGGCAGAAGGAGGACAAAGCAAGTGCCAAATTGGTGGCGACTGTGCTTTTACCAACACCTCCTTTTCCACTGCTCACCACAATAATATGTTTGATGCCTGGGAGTGGATTTGAAGCAGGCTGTTTGGTGTTCGTTGTTGCTGATGTGGCTGCTGGATGTACTTGATGACCATGATCGGAGTGGAAAGATGAAACAATGCTGGTGGAGAAATTTCTGGTGTTGCTGTAATTGTTGTTATTACAATAGCAAGGAACGTGTAATACGCTTTTCGGTTGCAGCGAGGAAATCGAATTGGATGATGCCAGCTTTTTGAGAGAAACAAAAGAAAGAGTTTTTGATGTTGCTCGTTTCATTTTTTAAGGCTTTAATTTGGAAAATCATTTTTCGATCAAGAGTTTATAGAGTAATTTTTGAAAGATTGGCCTGAATTCGAGAACAATACTTTTGAACGCCTGCATCATCTTGGCTCTTGACCATTATTTCTGCAATGGTTTTTTCGAAATTCAGTTGTTTTAACACAACACAACATTCTTCATATTGGCAAAAGTTGCCCAACGAAAACAAGGCAATTTTTTTTGCGCTGGAATTCTCGTCGTGCAGTGTCTTAACCAGTGCTTCGATTGCTCCACTTTTAAGCAAGTCTTTCACCAATTCATTGGAGTTTCTCACTAAATTACCGAGAGCACCTGCAGCATTGGCCTTTGTCTTTTCGTCTGAGTTTTCAGCCAGCAGCTCAATAAGAGGGGGAATACATGGAGCGAGAGGTTTGTACAAGTTGTTGTTGTGGAAGCAGGCGTTTCCAATGGCAAAGCATGCAAATTTCCGTGTGTTGGCATCCATATCCTTACATCGTTGAATAAGGTCTGGAATGAGAGCATGTTGTTCTAGAGCTTCATAAAAAAATGCAGAATGTCTACACATGTTGCCTATCAAGTTGCAAACTTTTGCTCTCACCTCACTCTCCCTGTGTCGCAATAGCTCCTTAATGAAGGTATAGATTTTAGCTTGATGAATTTGTTTGTAATAGTCTTTGCTCATTCTCGCTATTTGACTCAAAATTGATAGTCCATCCATTATAATGGAAGGAGGATTCGAAGGATCAATTACTTTTTGAACAAACTCTGGTTGCAATCCTCCATACTTAATATACTGTTTAGTAAAGTAGTTTGATGTCAATACCATGCTAGCCAAAAAGTTCAAAGATGATCCAAAATTATCCATGGACACAAACTCCAAATTGGAAATACAGTATTTCACTAGCTCCTCTTTGTGCATAATCTTGATCAACTCTGCTAATAATTTTTCATTTTCTTTTTCCTGGATACTTGCTTGGTTATATAATAAATGTAAAAATCCAACGGTTGCATTAATGAGATTACTTAAATAGAGGCCGCCTCCGTTTCGTGACACGGGCCACTTGGAAAAAGATTGTAAAATTTTGTCTTTTAAGGCTTGAATTAGTGCTCTTACAATGCTCATATCTCCCACCAAGTTATTAATATTTTCTGAGTTACAGGTTGCAATGTCATACATTAATTTCAAGGATGCCAAGACTGCTTCAGGAGAGAGTTCAATATCACTGGATTTCAATCGTTCACACACAGATTTCCAAGTTCCTGTTTTAACAAGCAAATTGTTAAATGAAGCATTCCATAATTCAGAAACCTGGTTGAATAACATAATTATTCCATCTAACAAACCAACGTCTGGAAATCCAAAGCCAGATCCTTCCACTCGTTTTACTTCATGCAGCTGATATATTGAAAACTGTTTCACATAGTTCAATAATTGTAGCAAAACATTAGAGAACTTACATCTTTGATGAGAATGTCATTAATTTTCCCTAAACCAACAGGCGTGAATAACTCGGATATTATCCTCTTTTTCAGTGCTGAATCCTGGGCAAGCCGAGAAAGTAAAAGCACACAAAAACATTTCAGCCTCTCGTCAAGGGATGTGTTAATTATGACAACACAATTGCCAATCAAAGCATCATTGTCTTTTCCAAGCTGGCTAATAATTTTTGGCGAGTCCTTGAAAATGATTGAAAGCGTTAAAGCAGACAATTCGGTCTCATACATTGTCTTAATGTCGGTTGTATCTTTCACAAGGCTAATTAGTGATTGTAAACTTGAAATGTCTGAAGACATTTGATGAGAAAAATCTGTTGAAAATCTACAAAGTTGATAGATCGTTCTGAGTGTTGCCACTCTCACGTTTGCCTCTTGGTGGGTAAAGAGCTCTGATAAAGCTGGAAGAACATTTTGTTTCAAGGCTGCCTTCGCAATAGCTCCTCGTATGGTGTTATCTTGACTGCACTCAACTATTTCTGTGCTCAGTGTGTTTTCTGTTTGGAAAATTGACGGGAATTGGAAAATTTCTCCTTCCACAGGGTGAACAAGCTCAGCCAGTGCCTTAATGGTGGTTGTTGTCAAGTGCTGCACGAACTTTTTCTCTGTCTTGACAATTTTAAAATCCAAGCAAGAGCATACTGCATCATGCCATTGTAATTCTTTCAAGGATTCAAACACCTGGCTTGTTTGGAAAGGTACAAAACCAATTTTGATCGATAATTCTTTGAGACACTTCATTGCATATATTTGAACAGACAGAGTGTTGTCGTACCTGTAATCAACTAATGCGGGTAATATAGTAAAGAAATCTGCAATAACCGATGTGATGTTTTCAATACCGTATGGAAGTGCAAAATGAAGAGCAATCAAAGCATCTTGAACAGTTGGTTTGGTATCAAATTTAGCTCCTGCAAATTCTGTTTTCATAATACAGTACGTTGCAATAATATATACATTGTCATTAACCTACCTTTCAGAAATGCTAAAAGACTAGTCACAACGTTTGCATCAATGAGATTATCAGAGTCTTCTTCCTCGCATTTTTCAAGAGCTTTAGCCAAAATTTTGAGAGAAGTCTGTACAATTTTTGTTGATTTCGTTTTGAACGCCGTTTGGCTCACCTTAATAGTATTTGCAAGTTTGTCCAAGTATTCAACATTTTTCATAACTGTCTTTGGACCTGTTTCGTCCTTAATTAAGGTAGCTTCAATGTCAGTAATTGAGACTGGTTCAAAGAATTGATGAGAATTTGAGCAAGATATCCAATGCTGAAAACTTACTTTCTTGTTTTGGTTCGATTTTTTTCTTGACTCTAGTTTGAGTAAGGTTTTTAGCGGGTGTCTTTGGTTTTTTCTTTGATTTTTCGTCTGTTTGTTTGCGGTTGAGCGCGACAATTTGCTCAAACATTTCAAGCCTCTTTCTTCCAATATTTTCTTGTAACATTCGCTCTCTCACTTCTCTACAATAAAGAAATCAGTCAGACTTCAAAGTATTGTGGAGCTTTTCAAACTTACTTTTCTTCTTTTGTTTCTCGCACGAATGGATGATCCAACAATTTGGGCCAGTCCAACCGTTGTTTTGGAGCCTTGTTTAATAAACCTCTAAGGAAGCTTTTCATGGGAGGGCTGATGTATGGTGGGTATTTTACAGGATCTTTGACAATGAATTGAATGAGTGAGAAGAAGTTGTTTGTGAAGAAGGGAGGCTTTCCGACAACAAGTTCATACAAAATTACGCCCAATGACCACAAGTCCGCCGTGTGATTGTAGGGTTGTTCTTGAACTAATTCTGGGGCCATGTACAATGGTGTACCTTTGATAGATGTAAGTACCATTGTATTGCACGACATGACTCTGGCAAAACCAAAATCACACAATTTAATGGCACCATCGGAACCAATTAAAATGTTTTGTGGTTTCATGTCTGGCGAGAGAGCAGTGTAAACAAAAGCATAAACATCACTATTGTTGTAAAGAACATACCTCTGTGTATAATTCTGTTGGAATGCAAATAGTGCAACGCTCTCACTAGCTGCTTGGCAATTTTCCCAACAACATCCTCAGGCAAACGTTCATCATCTTCCAAAATTTCGAAAAGTTCTCCCTGTGCAAATTCCATCACTACACAGAATTCTTCCTTCGTTTCAAATGAATCCAACATCAAAACTATATTCTCATGATTAAGCTTTTTTAAAATGTTGATCTCTTGACGGAGGTTGTATAACTCTTTTTCATTCTTTCCCTTCTTCGGAATAAATTTCATGGCCACGATTTGACTCGTAAATTTTCTTCGGCCCTTAAATACTTTTCCAAAAGAGCCCTCTCCAATCAACTCCAGAACATGGTAGTCATCTATTGAACTCGAGTACGTTTTACCAGTGTGATTATTTGATGAACTGGCTTCCGTCTGTTGTTTGAGCATATTTTTTTTGTAGTTTTGTGCGTGTTCATGGCGCCAAAAAACTTGTGTCAATATTGTCAAAAATAAAAATTAATACATTTCAATTCATAAATGTTGCAATCCATATTCCACAAGAACATTGATAACAACGTTGTTCTTCTTGGTGTTCGTGTGCACACGATAATTCGGGACCCAACCACAGGTGCAATTTGGAATCATCGTCGTGCACTCATTTTTCTCATCAAAATAAAAAATGAAACGAACCAACGAAGGAGATTTCAAACAAGTCGGTGATGATAACAACACAAATCAACAATCATCATCGGCTATGGTGGATGAAGAAAAATCAGCAGAACTCATCAACACAAATGTTCAAGTTTTTCCAGCAATTCCATATCGAGAAAAAAAGAAAGCCTCTTCAAAAGAGCAATATTCACGATTTCCGGTTCGTGTAAGAGCTCACTGCAATCCTCTGAGCGATGACTTTTTTGATTATCCTAAAAAACCTAGTGATGTGAATTGGCAAGAAATGTATCCAAAGATGAATATTGAAACAGAGAAGGTTCAAATTTTGGACGTTGGATGTGCCTACGGAGGATTAATCACCTCCATTGCTCCCGTGTTTCCTAAAACTTATATTTTGGGAGTAGAAATTCGAAAGAAAGTTGCAGAATTTACACAGCAGCGAATTTTAGCCCTTCGGGAAGGAAAAGCACTCGATGAAACTCCTCAAGATAAAGCCAAAGTTGAAACCGGTCACGATTTTCACAACGTTTGGGCATTACGATCAAATGCCATGAAATTCCTTCCAAACTACTTTAAAAAAGGACAATTGAAAAAGATATTATTCATGTTTCCAGATCCACATTTCAAGAAGAAGAACCATAGAAGAAGAATTGTTAGCCCCTCCCTCATTCCCGAATATTCCTATCTGTTAGAAGTTGGAGGATTGATTTACACAATTACAGACGTGCAAGAGCTAGGTGAATGGATGGCCAAGAGTTTTGAAGAGGAGTTGGTTCCTCTGGGTGCTTTTGAAAGAGTTTCTCAAGAAGAGCTCGATAAGGACCCACTCATTCCATTTATTATGAGTTCTAGCGAGGATGGCCAAAGAACGAGCGAACAACATTTGTCAAAGCATTTGGCAGTATTCAGAAAACTCAAATAAATTATTTCATTAATTTTGTGTCAACTTGTCGATATTCCTTAAATTGACAAATTATAATATATTACGATCCAAGACATACCAATTCTCGAATAACAAGGTTGTTTTTCAATGCACTCCACGAATAGATGAACGGCATTAAGTTGTTTTGTTTACAATTTATTGAATCTATTTCCTATTCACAAAGTGCCACTCCAAAGTAATAATCAGAGTCAGCCATAACCACACGATTACCCAAATCTTCAATTTTTCTTGGTTCCAACTCCTTGTAAAGATATCTATAATTTTCAGATTCTTAAAGTGGTAAAAATTCCAATTTCGAGATGATAAATTGAAGTAGCAATTAATCATGAACCTACCTTGATGACCAAGACGCCCGTCACTTCCACATCCAAAGCTCAGTAAGGAATTATCGACAGTTTGTGCAAAATTATGAATTCCTCCTGGAACCAAGTGCTTGATTTTTGCTCCATTTTCCAAGATAATTTTTACAGGTACAGGTTGATCGTCGGTGGTCTGGGTTCCCAGTTTGTACTTGTAACCTGAGCCAAATGTATGCATGAATCCGTTCGAATCTAATACCATACCATGACAATGATGTGACGAGCCACGAGAGCATGCCACTTGAACTGCCTCAATCGGTTGAGAAAAATTAACTTTTGTTGGCAAGTGTCCCGACTTATTTCTCACATTACCAATTCCTAATTGAAAGCATGCATTGGAGCCAAATCCGTAAACATCTCCATTGGTAGCAATTGCCAACGTGGAGTCATAGCCCAAATCAATATCTTTAAATTCAGTCACTATCTCGGATCCATTCGAAAAGACGAGTGGAGTGAACGAGTTCACATCACAATTCTCCTCCTTGAAACCACATTTGTGGGACGTATTCTTTCCAATCATGAAAACATGTCCTTTTCGTGTTAAGGCACAAGAATACCCATTTCCAGCACGAATCGACACAACTTCATCATCACTCGCACAAGGTACTTGAAACACTGTGGGTTTTGTAAACTGCAAACTTGAACTCAATTTGCCCCAAAGCATGACTTTGGATTCACCAGCATGTCGTACCAAACACGAACCATGTCTGTAACCTGCAGCAATGACACTAGCATTGGAAATGGTCGGAATCTTTACAGGTACACTCAAACGATCCTTCTCATCTCCCATTCCTAATCGGAAATCTTGATTTTTCCCCAATGCATAGACATGACCCTGATCGTCCAATAACAGTAAAAAGCTTCCACCAGCACTCACTTGAATAATTTTAGTATTCACGAGAGGAGAAGGATTGGAAATTCCGGAGGGAGCCTTCTTCTCACTCGTAGCAATCAAATGAGGTGTATTCGATTGAATGCCTTTGACTCCAATCGCTCCCCAAAAGTAGACATGAGATCTTGTGGTTGAAGATGATTTCATCATTTTTTGTTGTTTGGAAACATGTTTAATCTCTCGAGAGATTCGTTTTGAAAACAACGAAATTTTTATGTAAAGATTTTGCCATTGGAAAAAGATTTGTTATCTTCCAGTCCCTAAATGAACTTTTCATGAAATTTGATTGAGAAGGACCAAAGTTCAAAAAAAGGGTTTAAGGCATACAGTCCTTGGAATTAATGTGTGATGAATGTTGGATTGCTGCTTGATTTGGGTTTTTACGATACACAACTGAAAGATTAATAAAGCAAATGCCTTCCCAGTGAAACGTGTTCGAAAGTTGAACACTTTCAACAATTTTGTTGTTGGTTCTCGAGAGTGAATTTTCCAAGTACAAAAAATGCAACCAACAAGCAGTGCCCGCTACATTCATTCTGACTCGACTTCGGACCACAACGGTAGTGGCAGTCTTGATGAACATTCGTTCGGAAACAATAATAACAACCATTCACTTCAATTTCTATCTTCTTCTCCCTATTCTACTTCTCCCATGTTTCTTCAACAACATTCCATCTTAAAGACTCATCATCACTCTAATTTTTATTTATGCACGTTTGATGCAAGGTTATTATCGAGTGCGGAAGGCTTGAATTTTATTTTGTCTGCAATCAAGTCCGAGAAGAACAGACTAGCGGAGAGGGATGAAAAAGGTAAAATTATTGTGGTAGCTCCCTCGAATCTGGGTATTAACGAGAATCAACACTTGTTGAAAATTGTTAGAAAATTAGCCAAGCAATCCGAACACGATTTTATTTCTTCATCAATGAATAGAAGAAATTCGAGTGATAGTGATGAGTCGTCAGGACATGCATCTTACTCGAATCGTTTGTCCTCTCCGGCCACTCCTCCTACACAGAGCGAGCAACTTTCGACAATTGTGGATGACTATCTGGACGAATTGTTACGTCCTCTTCAACAACTCTACAAGCAGTACTCATCACTTGATACCCACACCTTCTCAGAGTACAGAGCAAAATTAAGAAATCTCTTTATTGGTGTTAGTTTATTGGCAGATGCTGCTCCAAAAGTGATTGCCAAAATTGTGGGATGCTATAGTGAAATGGTTTGCAATTTCTTGCTGGAGTATTTGCAATATGAAGGAGAACGTAATTCTCTTTCTTTTGCATTTCTAGATAGTAAGCAGTATCTCGTGACGGCAATTGAAGAAGTCACTCATAGCGACAAGGTTAACTTTACAATTTATGAGCAAAGAAAGAAAGACCAATATTTAAGAGCTCACTATGATTCACCTCTCGTTGATACAGATTTAATTGAAGAATTGAATGGTCATGTTGCTGATGTGTTGATAGCACAAGGAAATGTTGGATGTGACAATAAGGGTGATGTTGTGCTGTTTGACATTAATAGCCCAAATTCGGACATGTCAGTCGCCATATTTGCTACCAAGCTTGATATTGGAAGTGTTGATTTTTGGACAAAAGATGGTGGCATCTTCACTTGTTCCGAAATGAAAACAACCAATGCCAAATTTGTGCTAGAGCTATCCTATCATGAAGCACTAGAAATAGCAACCTCTGATAATTTCAAAGTATTACAACCCAGAAGTCTCAAAATCTTGCAAGAATCAGACATTCACATTAGAATACGATCTGTAAAACTTTTTAATCGTTTTTCAAAAGGCTACCTTGACAAGGAGTACATTACAGTCATTAAGAGCGACTCGTCCAATGACGACAACGACACTGACGAAAATCATGTCACCAGCTTGACCTACGAAGAAAAAGTGCCACATGTCAAGTGCATTTGTATCCGACGAGATATTTTAATGCTCTCAATTGACACTTTGGATATGTGGCAAAAAGTCGGTTTTTTGGCAGACGTATTTGGAAAATTTAAAAAGTATAATATTTCCGTAGATTTTGTGACAACATCAGAAGCCAACATTACCATCACATTGGATGCAACCAATAAGCTTGACAATGAAGTTCTGAATAAGTTAGTGAACGATTTGAGGTCCATGAATTGTCGGGTTGAGATCATTGGACCTTGTTCTGCCTTATCTCTCATTGGAAAGAATATCAGATCATTCTTACCTCGTCTCTCATCTGGATTGACTTATTTCTCTGGACAAAAGATACATTCTGTGGCACTTGCTGCATCCGATGTGAATTTAACCTTTTTGCTCGATCAAAATAATTCCAATGAACAATTATTGAAAGAATTACATGACTGGGTCTTTATTAAGCAATTCATTGATTCACACTATATTGGACCCACATGGTCAGAACTCTTTGAAACACAAACACAGAAAGTGAATGATGTGAGCGGAAGGCATGTTTGGTGGCGTCGTAAGAGACAGCAATTACTTGATCTGGTTGAAAAGGAAGATCAAGCTATTTATGCCTACGATGTGGAACAATTCTTAGCAAACGCTCAAAAACTCATCAACATTTCCAGTAGAAATAATGGTCCAGTCGATCAAATTTTCTTTGCCCTCAAATCAAATCCACATCCAGAAATACTCAAAATTTTTGAGAGTGTTGGCTTTGGACTCGAATGCGTTTCTATCGATGAAGTTCGAATGGTGTGTTCCTTATTCCCAAATATTGATCGAGCGAACCGAATTCTCTTCACACCCAATTTTGCTCCCAAGAAGGAATATCGAGAGGCTCTTAGTCTTGGTGTCATGTTAACAATTGACTCGTTATATCCTCTCATGAATTGGGGAGAGTTATTGAGAGGCAAATCTGTCCTTTTGAGAATCGATCCAGGAGCAGGCAAAGGACATCACGCCAAAGTCAAAACAAGTGGTGTTCAGTCCAAGTTTGGAATTCATATTAGTGATATTCCTCAAGCAGTCGAGTTGTGTGCTCAATACAATATCACAGTGATAGGTCTTCATGCTCATGTTGGAAGTGGAATTTTGGATGAGGCAGAAGCATGGAAAAAGACGGCTGTCACATTAGCTCAGCTTATTTCAGAGCATCCAAAACTCATGAACGATGTGAAAATGATTGACTGTGGAGGAGGTTTAGGAGTTCCTTATGTTCCATACAAACAAACAGAGCTTGATTTAACAGAAGTAGCAAAAGCAATGATTGACTTTAAAAAGAATCACAATCCAACAAACGTTAAATTGTGTATGGAACCTGGACGTTTCCTTACTGCCAATGCTGGAGTTTTGTTGGCAAGAGTCACACAAATCAAGAACAAGATGAACAAGCTGTTTGTTGGAATTGAGACTGGAATGAATTCCTTAATTCGACCAACGTTGTATGATGCCCATCATGAAATTGTGAATCTCTCAAAAATTAGTGATCCTAATAGTGACGATCCAGCTGAAAGTACCATGGTAGCTGATATTGTTGGGCCAATTTGTGAAAGTGGTGATGTCTTTGGAACAGATCGAGCCATTTCTAGCGAAACACGAGAGGGTGACATTTTGTGCATTTGTACGGCTGGAAGTTATGGTTACAGCATGTCCTCGCATTACAACAACCGAGTTCCTGCGAAGGAGATTTTCATTATGCCTCAAAATGGCAGCAAGAATTAAAATGTTTCAAAATTTATTCATTGCTCACAGCAGTTTGCTCTGTCTCTGCAGGTTTAGTGGCCTTTTTCTTCTTCTTTTTAGGCTTCTTTAAATCCATTGAATTATCAATGAATTGTTTCTTTTCCTTTTGCTTCTCTCTTCTCTTTCTTTTCTTTTCCATTATCGCTGCATTCCTCAAAATGCTTTGTTTAATAGGTTGAGGGAATTTAATCTTCTTTGCCTCTTGTTTTTTCTTGATGAGCTCAATGTGATGTTCAAATGTCTGCTTTGGAATTGAGGCAATTGGTAATGTGACCATCACAATTCCATTCTTCAAAAATTGTGCATTTGCTTTTTCCTTATTCACTTTAATGAGACCAGGATACTTTCGTTGAATCCACAACTTTTTAGTATACCCAGAGTATCGACCGTGAATTCTCCATCTTCAACATCAATTCTCACAAACTTTTCTGGTATTTTGTGCAAAATAATGACAATCTTTAAAACCTTTCTCACAATATTCACTCGGAATGAAACTGGAACTTTTTGATATTTCTGAGAATTTTCAGATGAAATGATTAACTCTTCGTCCTTCTCTGGAACTTTTTCTTCCGTGATTGGAATTTTTGTTTTCTTTGATGATGCTGTTGATGATGATGCATTCATTTCCGATACCAATTCAAATTGTTCTTCAATTTCTTTGAGAAAATCTTCTTCGGGAAAGTCCAAATTCAAATCATCACTCTCTCCCATCACATTCTGTTCCGTATCCGCATTGATATTTTCTACGGCATCTTGTTCTTCCTCCTTGCGGGATGCTTCTTCTTCTGGAGAAGCCTTTCTCTTGGGTGCTTTTCGTTTGTTGCTTTGTTTTTGTTGTTCAGACATTTTTTTGAAGTTAATAATTTTCCATTTTAATAAATTCAAAAAAATGTTTCTTCTTAATGTTTGATGATGTGAGTTGTTGGAAGAAAATCTTCATGAAAATCCAATTTTAACCATCGGGATACTCTTTTCCAAGTTTGTAATCCCATATACATACTACACAATAGATTGGAAATTCCAAAACCAAGCAAGGCTCCACTCACTACGCATACACTCTTCAAGAAGGTCCTTCTTTTCGATGAAGATGGGTTCTCAATGAATAGATAGGGAATTCCACCTCCTATTACACATCCACTCAATGGAATGATCAATTTGTGGAGTAGGAAATGTTTGAGGATTTTCGTAGAGAAGGAAATGAGCATTCGGAAAAGAGAACGAAATAGAAAATGATCATCATCCATACTTTCGTTGTGGTCTGAGGATGCAACGGTTGTAGAGACTTGCCGTGTATGATTCGTGGCTGGTTCTTGGCGAAACATTTTTTCAAATTCAATCCAGTGGAAGAATTCATTGAGAATCTAAAACGCATTTGGAAAGAAACAAGAATTAAGGTCATCCGATGATCGTGGCTTAGACTCGACTACTACGCTCAACCATAGCACCTTCGTCACGAAAATCCAACATTAATAATCGAGAAGCTCTTTTCCAAGTCTGCAATCCGACATACATGCTACACAACAAGTTAGAAATTCCTAAACCTAACAAGGCACCACTTGCAACACACAAACTTTTCATGAAGGTATTCCCTTTCGACCGTATTTTCGAATGAGAAGAGGCTGTAGTACTATTCTCAGAAATGAATAGAAACGAAATGCCACCTCCGATCACACATCCACTCAATATAAATGTGAATGGAACCATCAATTTGTGGAGTAGGAAATGTCGGAATAGTTTGTTGGAGAAGGAACAGAACATTTGGAAGAGAGAATGAAAGAGTGCATTTTCATCCAGGGTGACATGATCCGTAGCGACTTGAAGTGGTGTGGAGACTTGTTGCCGATGTTGATCAGAAAACATTTTTTGAAGAGATTGATCAAGTTCAGTGTGGGAGTGCAACTCTACATTAATTTAGAATCTAATCTATTATGGAAAGAAGTAAGGTCGATCACTGTTGAGAACCTTAGGTACAATTTTTCTAACCTAGTTGGAGCAAGGAATGTTCCTTGTTGATACAAAGCTCGTTTGCAATGACATTCCAAAAAAACCGCGCATCCTTGTTAGGTGATTCCACATTTTCAAAGTTGGAATTTCTTGGATTTTAAAGGAGAATCTCATATGTTGAATCTTGTGAGACAAAGACTGCACCATGGCGTTGGGAATTCCACAATGATTTGTAAAAACAAAATATTTCACACAACAAACGAGAGAGTCATAATAACCCATTGATCAATTCCTTGAGATGTTGCAACAAAGTCCCAACAATTCTTCATTCCATCACCATGGTCGTGACAACGATCTGCTCCAACAACAAAGCAACAAATACAGAAAGATTAACGATCAACTCTCGAGTGTCTTGAGTGAATATCAAGATCTTCGTCCTCCCAATATTGTGGTCATTGGAGAGCAAAGTGCTGGTAAAAGCTCCGTGTTGGAATATTTGAGTGGTATTCGCTTTGTTACAGGTAAGTTTAGTGATGTCCACATTTCACAACAAACCTTCACAATAAAGGGCAAAACATGGTGACCAAGTGTCCTTTGCAACTACGTATGGTCAACTCCAAGTCATCCAGTGGAAGCAAAGCAGTGATTAAATCCAACATCTATCTCACCAAACATTCCAACAAGCCCATCACCATTGAAAACCCAGAAATCAATGATGGTGCTCAGCAACTCGAAGAGGCCATTCAACACTTGACCTCGCTCCATCTCCAGGAAGAAGGGTACACTGGTGATGTTTCCAGAGTGTCAACACATCTCATTGAAGTAGAGATTACTTCTCCCAATGTACCAGATCTCACTTTGATTGATCTTCCTGGACTCATTACCACCAGTAATGAAAAAAATCCAACCTTAAAAGACGACATTCGTCAGTTAGTGAAAAGGAATACGACGGATCGAGATTGCATTCTAATAGTGGGAGATGCTGGTCGAGATTTACAGACCATTGTGGGCTTTGAGGAAGCACGAGAGAAGGATCCTTCTCAGAAACGTACCTTGTGTGCATTGACAAGAGTCGACAAGCATGTCAACGACATTGAAACGTTGAATAAGATGATAGAGTCGTTGAATAATCGTGGACCCATTAAATTAGTGCATGGATATGTAGGATTAAGAAATCGATAGAGTGATGAACGAGATCTCTCCATTGAGGAATGTGAGGAAAAGGAAGCAAGTGTCATGAAAAAGCTAACTACTGTTTCAGATCATTTCAAGGGACGAAAGGTAAGTGAAACTGTTGTGGCTTTGGTCCATAATATTATGACGATGGATTGATGATTGGTGATAACAATGTACATAGGCATTAATCAAAAAACTCACTGACATTCAGAACGACCATTTGAAATCAAGTTTACCTGATCTCAGAGAGAAGCTCAAAATTGAATTGAAAAAGGTCAATGAAGAGATTGAGAACTTCTCAGCGAATGTGACTGCTTATTTAGAAGGTGAGGAATCACTCGTTTCACTCTTTGAAGACAATGCCAAGAAAATTGTGAAGGAATTTGAACGAGTGGCCACTCATCAAGGAGCATGTATCAACGAAGAACAAAGTGAAGACGAGGTTTTTAAAAAGTTAAATCATGACGACGACAATGAATCAAACAAGGTCTTTTCCCTACCTGACTTTTCCAAATCCATGGAAAATATGAAGAATTCGATCATGCAAGCAAGTGAAATTCAGTTGGATGACGATAAATGTTATTTAGAGCTTGCCATGAACATGCTCGAAAAACAAAGAGGTTTTCCAGGGTTACCAGACCTCTACCAGCCAACGATACTAATTGAGCTGACCAAGTTAAAACTTTCTTCCATGCAAAAAAGCGTAACCACGACTTCCGAAGAAGTGCTTCAGGAATGGAAATCTCTTGTACTGGATTCTATCATTCCAAAAAGTGTCAAACAGGTTGTGGATAAGGATTCAACGACTGATATGCTGCAACATCATTTATCCACTCTTCTCGATAAGCAGATTGAGAAAGCAATCAAGCTCATTGAACACTATTTTAATATAGAACGTCACAGAACAACCACGTTGAACTCTAACTATGAACATCATCAAAAAACACTTGCAAAATATGCAAACGAGCTTCGAAATCCAACAAGAGATGCGAAACAAGTTCAAGAACATGGCTTACCTAAGGCTGATCAAACATTCATTGACACAGCTTGTCAAAAGGATGTGGCAACAACACGACAAAGTTCTTACAGCTTCTGCAGCTATGGATCTATTGATCAAATTTAAAGCATACTTGAACATTGTGTGCACCAGAGTGGCCGATCACTTCGACATTTACTTGTACGATCTTCTGTTTGTTGAAACTTTGAGCCATATGGAAGAATATTTGAAGGTAAGAAGAGACAGAAACTTGTCAGAGGACACCGAAAGAATTGGAATTCCACTCGAAAAAGTGCTCGAAGCCTTAAAACCAACCCTAGTAGAGATCGAACAATATGCAGACAAGCAAAAGAAAAAGCGAGACATAGAGTCTGCCATTGATATCCTTAAGAAAAACTTCATTTAACAACCAAGAAGGAAAGTTTGCGAACCTCGACCTGCCAAGTAAATAAAAGTTGTTGCATGATCAAGAGAAAATCAAGATAGAATTCAAACAAAATCAAACGCCCCATGACCTATGGTTTTGCTTTATCTAGAAATTCGGGCTTAACGTCTTCAATGTGAACGGTATTGTTTTGTGAAATGAGTTGATATCTGCAATAAAATACCTGCGTATTGCTGTTATCATTCCTTCCTCCAAACTTAAAATTAATATAATTAGAATAATCGTAGATGGCTACACGTTCTAACTTCTTTGGCATTGAAGTATGCGTTGGCGTTTGCAAAGGAGTGAACACATATTCATCTTCCCCTGCGTCACTAAAATATTTGTCATAAATATCTTTGCTGAGATGACTCTGCAGCAACGTTGCTTTGTGAAAATAGTGCAAGTACAAATGTGTCCCATGAAATTTGTCAGGGTTGTTTACATCTGTTCTTATAACTTCACAAATTTTGGCTAAGAATTTGGTTAAGCCATTCTGTAAAGATATTTCTATTTGTGCATTCTCACCAGAATTAAACGTTTCACCATTAAGGATAAATTTTCGATAAATAAAGAATACAGAGTTATTGGCTCTCTGTTGAATGGGTGGATCCGGAAATTCGAGGAGAGGTATCTCTGTGTTGCTGATTTGCTTCAAGAGTTGCACCGAGTCCTCGCTAACATCTTCTTCCTCTGCATACTTCATACATTCTCGTTCGTCTTCAATAATTTTAGAGACATCCAAATTGTGGTCATTAATTTTGTGTAAAATGTTGAGTGAAATTGACTTGTTACCATGAATTAATTTTTCAATACCTGAAGTCTTTGTCTTCTTTTCTTTTGGTTCAAATACTGTCTTTCGTCGATTTTGTTGATCTAGTTTCTGTCTTAAATGTAAGTTTTGAGCTCTCATATTGGAAATGTCTTGTCTTAATGTTTTTATCCTTTGATTGATAGAACCATTCCAAAATTCAAAAAGAAATGATTGATACTTTGACATTATGTACAATTGTTTTTCCAAGTTATTTTCTTGTATTGATTCCTCCATGAGTCTGGAATAGGTTTCCTTTGCCTCTTGAAAGCATGTCTTCATGGTATTCACCATTTCAACTTGTGACTCTGATTTTAAACATCCAAAATTGTTGATGGAATACTCTACTTTGAGAGCGGTGAATGATCCCTGCCTTTCGTGAACTCTAAAGCAATTAATGTAGAAGTTTTGGAGATCACTCTTTTTGCTCGTTGTTCCTTCAGAGAAGAAAGAAGAGCAAATAATACCAAATGAATATGCTGCTTGCATTTGCATTTCATATTGCATTTGTAAATCCTTCATAGAGGGAAATGGCGGTATTCGAGGACTGCATTCGATAGTGTGATTGACAAAATGAACAAGTTCCGCTTCCAAATATGAAATACTTACTGTGAGTGGTACCATCCACAAAAAGTTAAATCTCTGTAAAATAAAGAGGATAATGTATACATTAAAGAAATTCAGAATAGGTATAGAGACACTTACTTGGTTTGGAAAAACTCTTGTGCCAAAATAATTTCGTTAGGACTGCATGTGACTCCATCAATAGCTATATTCTCTACCTCTCTTTATGAGTTGTTTAACTTTTCGTAATCACAAGTTGTTAAAATTTAAACTTACCTTGCAAGTGCCTTAAAACAGCTGACATAAACAGTGTTGGTTTTTGCGTCGTGAAAACCTCCCAACAATCCAATGATCTTGATGTTTTTGAGATAATGTTATTCCAAGCAATGAACTTGATGTTCATAACATACCTCATTATGATGATCCGAATAAGCATGATCAATTATTCCACAAATTACTGATTGTTCAATGATGACGTTGTAGCCACTATGTGGGGATAATAGCAGGAATTTTCCGATGAACATGAAATGTTTTGAATTGTACACATACCTTGACTTTTCTTCTTTCATATGACAAATGGTCCTATCCGTGGAAAAATCTCCTTTTTTCACAATGTATACGCTATTGTCATCGCTCTTTTCTTCTACAGAGATGGTTCTGATTGTTCTCGGAGGTTCCGTATTAGTAGTGTTGTTCGTATTCGTAGGGGTCACTGTCGGATTGTTCCTGTTGTTGTTATTATTGTTGCCGTTCCTATTATCTGGTATGGTAATGATTGGTTTTCGTTGTACCGATGAATATTCTTCTTCTTCTTTGTTATCATCCTCTCGTTTTCTTTTCTCCGCTTGGTTGTTGCTCATGATGTGGAAAGGCTGATGATCGGTTTTGGAAATGTAATTTATTAAATTACTGATGACGGGCTCTGCTGAAAGCCTGTGAAGGTAACTATAATTTCAAGATGAAAATGATTGTAATTATTGAACGAGAAGGATATGAATTAGCTTAAAATTGATGATGGAAAGTTCGGAGCGTTTTGATTTGAAATATTTTTTTCTATCTGTTGGACGAACAATTTTTTTGGCCAATTTTCTTTTTTATGCGATCGGTGTTGAAAGTGGTGAAAGTGGGTCTCACAAAACGATTGCCTTTGTTGAAAATAAAAAAAACCTTACTTGAAAAACGATCGATTCTTTGAAAAGGTTTCAAAATCTTCAAGCTCAACAGTATAGTCACTATCAATTCTCTCTTTCAATAACCTTTTGTTTGTTATTGATGAAGATGAGGGCCGATCATTAAGGTTCAATAATGAATCGGTAGGCTGTTTTTGAACGAATTTGGTAAAAGTCGTTGAGGAAGGTATTCGAGAGGAAGTATATTTGTCATGCTTGACGTGCAAAGATTTCCCTGTGGACAGTAAACTGTCATTCATGATGGAAGAATTATTCGGTTGAACATCCAGTAGAGATGGAAGGTTTGATGTCGTTGTCACATCATCCATGCACTCTCTTTCATCATCATTGGTCACATGGTTTTGCTGACGCTGTGGTTTTTCTACGACCTCTCTTACAGACTTTCGGATTTGTTGTATGGCTTGCTCTTCATCAATCACAGGAAAAATATCGTCTTCCATTAATGCATCGTCATTGTTAGGTTGCAGAACTTGAGTATATTTCTGAGTCGACTTCTTTGGGGTGGATTGCGTCAAAGAAAACTTGTTAAATCTACTTTTTGGAGAAGTCATGATTGAGGAAGAGTCCAATTGTTTTCGCATTTTCAAAATGTCAGTTTCCATAGTATCCACAATTTGATTCGTTTCCTTGGAAAAGCTTGTCACAGCATTAAGATATTGTTGCTGTTTTTTGGACTCGTTTTCCAAATAATTTCCAAGGTTTGCAGCATCTTTTTGTCCCAATACAGACATAGCCTGTTTCTTCTTGTCTATCACTTGTTCTGTGTGTTGTGTGCTATGATGCCTTATCAGTGTATGGAGAGTGAAGAGCTGTTTGGTCCAATTATCTACCATGAGAGGGAGATTAAGCTTTGACTTTCCATGATAATTATTTACAAATTTCTCAAAATGTACAGCCTCTACATGCAAATACCATAAAATTCACAACATTGTCATCACAAAGTAAAATATGATGACATCGATAAACCATTTGTTGCTGATCGAAATATTACTTACGGTTTTGTTTTGTAAGATCCTCTTTGAAAATTTTCATTCTACTATCTCTTCCATTTGAAATATCATTAATGATACTCCGCATGTCTGTAGAATCCTCATGGTGCAATTCAAGCTTTTTAAATAAAGTAGAAATATTATCAAGTTGATTAGATCGATCTGTGGCACTGGCATCATCAAATAATCTCTGATCTGTTTTGCTATTGAAATTCCTTTCAGAAATTTCTAATTCAGCCTCTTGCTTATTCATGCTCTTGTATTCATTTGTTAGATTTTGTGCCAATTCTTGCCATCGTTCTTGTTTTTCAACAGTAAGTCTTGCATATTGCACTAATTTTCGAGTTTGGTTTCTAATATGAAGCTACAATATTTGGAGAAAGGTTATGAAAGGAAGGTGTAAATTATGATAATAATAATGTAGTAGGTCGAAAGATTGCACAATCCTAGAATAGCTCCATAACTTACCATAATTACATTTTTTGCTGCCTTTGTTTCTTGTAATTGAGTCATGTTCTCAAAATTAGAAAAGAATGTTTTAGAGATTGCCTTTTCCAAATAGCTAGGATATTCACGTTCGAAACATGTTTTCAACACATGAGTCGATACTTGAAGTAGTAATGTGTACAAACTATTTGCGTAAGTTCATAAATCCAACATTACAAAATGAGGAAAATGCAATTTGCATTAATTCACACATTCAGTACAAGCACCTACTTTTCTCCATACGCAGACTGTAACAATGTGGGCTGCAAATTTAGAACATAAATTTGACCTCGATCTTTCATTTCCTTAAGCCATTGCAATGCTACGGATCGAAAAGCTGTTCGTTGTTTCTTATCCGATACGGGAAATAATTGTTGAAAATCTTTCTCAGCTCGTTTCATATCCAATTTGCTAAATAGAAAATACATGATGATTTCCATGCCTTTGATGTTGGTGTTTTTGAACATGTCTTTGTGGAATGCAAGATTGTACTTTTCCTCATATGCGTTCGGATCAAATCCAAGCAACAGCAAATTTGAAAATAAAACCGACTCGGGACCGATTCCATCATGAGAAAATTGTTGCACGAGTTGAAGAGACCTCTGGGTGGATTCCGTGGTCATCAAGGTGTTGCGAATTTTTTAATTTGAATGGGCAACGGGGATTTTTGGCGCGAAAATTCTTTGCAGTCTCTTTGAACGATCTTGTTTAAAACCGGTGATTGTTTATAACAGTTTGTCTTCTTGTTTGAAACAATAAGTCTGGCATATTAGTCATGATTGGCCAATAATTTTTACTTTGTTGATTGGCGTTCTTATTTTCCTGGTTCAAGCGGAACTCTGCAAGTTTTTTGGTATTTCAAACAAAAAAAAATTGTGCACATCATCACACAGGCACAAACTCGACCATCCGCAAACAAAAAATTTCAATCACTCGCTGTGCAACAACGCCTCGGAACCATTCAAACACGCATTGAATCAACTCCAAATAATAATAATCATTGTAAATTTCTAACCGCACCTATAACTACTCTCTTCATTCATTTTGTAAATATTAAATACTATCATCATCATGAGCAAGAGAAAAAGAGCACCACACGCTGAAGAAGCAAGCGACAACGGAGATGATTTCCTAACAGAAGAAGACGTTGGAATCCAAGCAACACAACCATCACAAATGGTTGATTCCGATCATGAAGACAATGAAGAAGAACAAGAAGACATCTCTGCAACTCAACAAAAATCGAAGAAAATTAAAAAGAGAAAGGAATCCTCTGACGTTTTGGACGATGAAGAGGATGGGAAAAATCTTGAAGCAGGTATTATTGAGGTTTTGAAGCTCAAAAACTTTATGTGTCACCCATCATTAAAAGTAGAATTCCATGACAGAACTACAATCATTCACGGTGAAAATGGAAGTGGCAAGTCAGCAATTTTGACAGCCATTCAGGTGTGTTTGGGAGCGAAGGCTAAAAACACTAACAGAGGTAAATCTATTAAAGATTTAGTAATGACAGGAAAAGAGCAAGCAGAGATCTCCATCCAGCTTAGAAATCAAGGAAAGGACGCTTACAAGAAGCATTTGTATGGGAAATCTATTACCATTGTAAAAACAATCTCCAAGTCTGGATCATCATCACTCAAAATCCAGAATACCAGAGGAAAAACAGTTGAGAAAACAAATGAGGAGCTACGTCAAATTTTACATAGCTTTAACATTCAAATTGACAATCCTACTACTTGTATGACACAAGATATCAGCAGAGAATTTCTCGCTGGCTCATCAGAGGCTAAAAAGTTCGAATTTTTCCTAAAAGCCACTCAATTACAACAAATGATGGACTCCTTTAAACATTCACAAGAAAGTATGAGCAAAATTGAGCTAATATTGGATGAAAAAGGCAAGTCACTCGAAGAAAGCAAGGAAGAGCTCAACAGAAGAAAAGAATTGTATGAAAACGCGGAACATATTGATACTCTCAACAACGAAATAGAGGCTTTAAAGTCCGAAAAGATGTGGGCAGGTTATCTCGACGCAAAAAAAAAACATGACAAAGAACTAGCCGTACTTGAAAAAAAGAGACAAGATTTGCAACAATTGATTTCACAACGTGACTCGTCCACGAACGAAAAGCTTAATGAGCTGAACAGAAAAAAAAACGAATTGGAAGAGGAAAAGCACGGAATCAACATGCGTCTTTCAGAAATCGAAAGGAGAGTCAATGATTTGGCAAAGACAAAAAAAGATATTGAATATAAGGCTCAAACCATTTATACGAATAGATCTACTCACAAGAATGAACAAACGATATGTAAGGAACAGATTAAGATTTTAGAAAAAGAAAAAGCTGATACACTCTCCAAAAACAAGATTGACAAAGAGTCCATAATTAGGGAAAAACAAGAAGAGATTGAGAAAATATCTGCCGAACTGGAAAGCTATGAACGACAAAAAGCCTCTATTGAAGAATCACTAACATCTGATAAGAGCGCAAAAGAGAATCTTACCAATGAATACAGCAGTGTGAAAAACGAAAAGAACCAATTGCAATACGAAATTAGACAAGCAGAAACAGAAATGCAGAATATGCAGCGCAGCCGTACAGACAAATTTGCAGTTTTGGGAGGAGACGCAATGAAAAGATTTCTTAGTGACGTTCAAGCCAACATGAAAAAATTCAGCAAGCCTCCAGTCGGCCCTATTGGACTTATTTTGAAAGTGAAAGACGAATATATTGATTGGGCTCCATGCGTTCAGCATGCTCTTAGCAAATACCTGTACATGTTTATTGTTGATAACTTCAAAGATGGAGAAGAGCTACAAAAGCTAAAGAACAAACATAACTTAAAGGCCACTCACGTTATTCAGAAATATAGTAATGAGATTTATGACGTGAGTAACAACAGTCCTATGGATCATCTCACTATTTTCAAGGTTTTAGACATTGACACTCATTCAATACGGCATTCTCCTGTCAAGTACGATGACCTTCAAGCCCTGAAGGCTACCATAATCAATACTGTGATTGATCAAGCTCGTATAGAAGCATCCGTGCTCATCGAAAAGAGAGAAGACGCAGACCAGTACATGTTTGGAAAAGAGCCTCCAAAGTTTGTGAACGATTGTTTTACTATTACAGGAACAAAATTAATAGTGAGAGGAAAATCTAAAATTACCGACACTGCCAACGCTACAAGAAGCAGTTTGTGGACCAAAAACGTGGAAGATCAAATTAATGAAATAGACAAAACCATTAAGGAGTTGTCCAAGAACATTCCAGGATTTACAGAAAAAGAGCGTCAAATACAAAGCGAAATTAATAGAATTAATGAGACTTTAAAAAAGAAGAATAATCAAATTCATGAGCTCAACAAGAAAATCGAGAAGTGTAATCGATATATTCAAGACAAGAAGAAGGATATTAGCGATACAGAGCTTGATACTAACGATGCAGATCAGCAATACATTCAAGATTTAAACGAAAAAATTGAAAAGCATCTGGCAAAGATCGAACAACTGAACGAAAAGATTCATGAAGATGATAAAAAAATTGAAGAGATAAAAAAGCAAAGTGAGAGCCTTACGAATCAAATAGCTACCACAAGAAAGGAATTCCAAGACACAACTCGCAAACACGATGAAAAGAATGAGGAAATTCTTGCTGTTCTTGAACAAATTCGTGCTGTCCAAGAAAACTCTAGAGGATTTGAGTATAGAATTGCTCAGGCCCAAAGAGCTGTTGCTGATGAAGAAAAAGTTGTTGGCCAGTTGGCACAAGTGATGAACGAAACTAGAGAGCTTGCATTGGTGCATTCAAATCAACAGGAAATCACTCCTTCTGGAACTGTAAATGAAATATCAGCCAAAATTTCTCAAAAGAAAAGGCAACTCGACATTGAACGTGAAAAATTGGGCGAAATGAACTTTGCAGAAATCAAAAACAGATATATTCAATACATGAGAGAGTATGAACAGAAATATGAAGCATTCAATTGTTCGAATCAAGCTTGTAGTATCATGAAAACAGGCCTAGCAGCAAGATATCAAAATTGGAGAAAGTTAAAATCAGGCAATATCCAAACGGTCTCACACCTTTTCGACGTTTACATGAGTCAAAAAGGTCACTCAGGTCAAATCTATGTAGATGATAACAGTGGAACTCTCAAATTTGACATTCACATGGCAACACATGGATCTAAGGTACAAGTTGCTGATACCAAATCTCTGTCAGGTGGTGAAAAGTCTTACACAACTGTGAGTTTTTTGCTTGCAATTTGGGAATTGGTAGATACTCCATTTCGAGCTGTCGATGAATTTGACGTTTTTATGGATAGCATGTATAGAAAGACAGCTATGGATTTAATTTTGGCAACCGCTAAAGAAAAGCATCACAGTAAGCAATTGATCTTAATTACACCTCAAGATGTGTCCATTGTGAAGAAGGATCCTGAATTTTTGAAGATTATCAAGTTACAACCACCCAAGAGAGATGAAAATCAAAGAACCATGGACGAGTTTATGCATCAACATGGACAATAACATTTCCAAGAGTTGAATTGAGTCAATATTCGTTTATTTATATTAAACACCACAAATTTGACAACCAATTAACCGTGGCTCTGAGATCACCAAAAGAAATCACTGTAAAAAAATGATGAAATCCAAACCTCTATTGGCCATTGTTTCGGGTGGCTCTCGCGGAATTGGCCTTGAAATTGTCAAGCAATTATCAGAGAGCGGTATTCACTGTGCCACAATAAGTCGATCTAAAAATGTTGAATTTCTTCATCCCAACCAAACACATTTTCCATGTGATGTTTCAAATGCTTTACAAGTTTCGGAAACGATCAAAACCATCACTCAACACTATCACAAAACTCATGCTATGAATATTCTCATCAATGCAGCAGGAGTCTCACACGATGGCTTACTCGTTCGATTTCCACAAGACGAGCTCGAGAAAATAATCGCTATTAATTTACAAGGAACCATGAATATTTGCAAAAGTTCTCTCCGATACTTTATGTTGAGTCATTCGAGTGCTGAAACACCATCAAGCATTATTAATATTTCAAGTATTATTGGAGGATCTCCAAACATGACCAATATTGGACAATCCGTCTATGCTGCATCCAAGGCAGGTGTTGTTGCCTTTTCACAACATTTAGCTCGGGAACTGTTGGGAAAACATATTCGTGTGAATTGTGTGAGTCCTGGATTTATTGAAACAGAAATGACTCGTCATTTACAAGTTGCATCCACCACACCAAATGACACCAATCGACAAAAATTGGAAAAAGTCAAAATGGGAAAACCTCATCATGTGGCTAGTCTCGTTCAATATCTAATTTCTCCTCAAGCAGAGTATATCAATGGACAGAATATAATTGTGGATGGTGGATTATCTCTTTTATAATGAATGATCATACAGAGCCAAAAATGTTCGTGGATATTATTAGTTCACACATACAGTAGTAGAACAATCTCACAATGAATGAACATATTGCTATGGCTCACAATATATTTGAACACTCTTCACAAAAACGTATACGATGACCTCAATGCCTATTCGAATGACTACACGCGTCAAATAGGACTTGTACATTTCATTCTTAATCAGCCTTAGGGAAAAGGAAATCAGTGGTTAGAGCAAGCCTGCAATTATCCAAAAGGGTCTTTTTCAATTTTTCATCATTCACAACCCATACGTTGGTCACATAACCTCTCTTTTGCAATTGTTGAAGGTACTCTACTTGAGCAAGACTTGTGTCAAAGCCCAATACGGCAGCACCAATAAAGGCAGGTACAACTGTCGTGTTAGCTTGATACCATAAAAAGTCAATCATGGATGTCAACAATTTGAGAGAGTTGTAGGTAATCTTGTCCTTCAGGTTACGTGAAGAACCTTCTGAAATTTCTTGTAAAATTGTTGGAAAGTCTCCAGAATAAACTCTTTGAAGACCTGGTCCGTTCTTTTTCACTTTTGGAACGCTGTGTTTCATCCAGTCAGCAAAAAGACCTCTCTTAAAAAGTAAATTGGTCACAATTTTTGGATTTCTCTTACGAACCACATAGAGCAAAGCAGGATTGAAAGAAGCAACTGTAGATTGAGTGTACAATTGTGGATACTTGTGATAGAGCTCGTCAAGCTTTTCTGCCATCAAAGCCAATCGAGAATACTGTTTGACCTCAATCATGATGACCTGTTTTGGGTCCAAACTGAATACAAATTGAATGTATTCTTCGAGCGTTGGAATGGTTTCCTCTCCACTATCATCATCAATATATCTGTAATGATTCTTGATTTCTTCAAGAGTGAGATTACCAATTCCAACATCGGTTTTTCCTTCCTTTGGGCCAATACCATACGCTACTCTTCCCATGGACAAGGTATCATGGAAAACAACAATATGACCGTCCTTGGTCAATTGACAATCCAACTCAACTCCTTCGCTGCCATGTTCAATAGAGTAACGGACAGCACTCAGAGAGTTTTCTGGAATGTTTTGAGTTTTAATATGACGACAACCTCTATGACCAATGAGAATATCGTTAAAGAATTCAGCAGAGGGAGATTTCTCAGTTCGGAACAAGTAGAACAAAATCAAGCCCAATACAACCATGAACAGGGTTGAATACAAAGAAAGCAAGAAAAGGAAGAATAACATGATGAGAGAAAATATTTTGGGTGGGTCCAGATCGAGAGTGGTTTGAAACGGTGAGAAGAGGAGAAAGATTGAAAGGCTGGAGTGAGTGAGACCAATGATGGTAGCTTCACTCAACCTTGAGAGGGAGATGAAGGTTGTTTTTTTGTTGGTGATGATGATGGCGCTTTCAACGTATGGACTAAAATAGCTCCATCTTCAAGATAACGATGACGAAGGATGGATGAATAGATAGCATGAGGAAGTGAACAATTTGATTGAAGGGAGTGGTTCAATGGGTAACGGAAAATTCCTTGTTGATTTTAAATTGCACATTGTTATCCTTTTTCTGAATATGTGAAGGAGTGGTGACCAGGAGTTTGTATCAATTTTAATAATTATTAAATAATTAATATCATGATGAGGGTGTGAGTTGTACTAAAAAGCAATTATTTAGATGTTGTCATGTTTAGGGTCAATCATTCCTATCCATAATAATTATTGAAGTTGTTGATTTTGCATCACAAGTGAGATTTCTTTTTGAGCATCAAAGAATTTATCAACACATGAATCCACACATTTCTTCTCATAATCATCGAGGTCCTTTCCATAGGCAGTGAGACATTTCTTGTTGCACACAGTGAGCATGCTGTTAAGGCGAATTGCCACGTGCGATGATTAGAAAATACATTCGTTCAACGAATTTAATTCAAATTGACCAAAAAAGATGACCATAACGTTCCGAATAACGAGAAAGATTCATGCAATAATAATCATCCATTTTCTATAAAACAATTAAATACACATACTTGAAGTAGAGTGTTCGGAAAGCCTCCAATTCAACCATAGACACTTGTTGTTGTTGGCCAAAACCTGCTGGATTGTTCATTTTTTTCTTTTATTCCATTTTGATTGGCTCAATCATTGAAAATATTGTTAATGTTTGGATTGTACACACATATTAACCTGGTGAACCTTTAATTCAATGATCACAACTTGCATTATGCTCTGGTAACAACTCTTCTTGACACAATTTAAATTTGTACAAGTGTTCCAGTATTCACACCAGCATCTCCAACACATCCTCCTTGTGTTCCCACAGATGTGATCACAAAATCTATTCTGACCTTATTCCCAGTGACAGAGCCTTTATAAGTTGCAGCTCTTCCATCATCCCATGTTACCTTGACATCCAAATAATTATTGATAAATGTTCCAGAGTAGTATTTAGTGATGGAACTACCGTCGTTCTTATTACTTCCAGATACATTTCCATATTCTAAAAAGTGTTTGAAAATTTAACAAACCATTTCCGAAAGGTACTTACGATCTACTTGGAATTTCATTTCCCACCCTGCCACTGTGGAATTCTAGTGTATATGTTTAATAAAATGTAAAGAATTGGTTGAATTTAAGGTAGGCCTTACTTACTGTAGCTACCCCTTTCCATCTTGTCCACTGTAATACAATTTATAAGTGCAGATGTGATGATTGGATTCAATCAGAGTTTGGAACCATGTATGAAACTTACTGAAGTTAAACCATCTTTTCCGCCTCCAATTCTATAGTGTTTGATATTAGGATCCTCAAATGTCTCGAACAAGGTTCCAGTATTCACTCCAGCATCTCCAACACATCCTCCTTGTGTTCCCACGGATGTGATCACAAAATCTATTCTGACCTTATTTCCAGTGACGGAGCCTTTATAAGTTGCAGCTCGTCCATCATCCCATGTTACCTTGACATCTAAATAATTGTTAATAAAGGTACCAGAATAGTGCTTTGTGATAGCTCCTGCGTTATCATTCTTGTTACTTCCAGACACGTTTCCAAATTCTAGATGAGAATCATGTTCAGTACATGCTCTCAAGCACCAGACGTTTAAACAAACTTACGATCAACTTTGAATTTCATTTCCCATCCATCAACACTCGAGTTCTAATGTCATGCATGCATGAATAAAAAATCTTTGTAATGATACGAATACTTACACACTATTATCAACAAAAATATTAAGGTAAATTGTTGAAAATAAATAAAACACATACTGTCTTTCCTTGCCATCTTGTCCAATGGGTGACACCATCTTTGCCACCTCCGATACGAAGTATACGTGTCATTGGAAGTGAATGTACTTGCACTTGTGGTTGTTGGTAGATTTGTGGTTGTTGTGGATAATATGGTTGTTGATAATTTGGTGTATAACCTTGATTTGGTTGCATTACTTGAGGATAAGAAGGCATGGTTGGAATCGAGGGTTGTTGTGGCGGATACATAATTCCAGTGTTATAAGAGACATTATTCCTTCTGAAAACATCTCCGTTAGGTAAAGGCAACACGTTCATGTCATTTGTTTCAACTCTCATGATGACATCTGTTCCGTTGTTATGGAATACCAAATACATGACATAGGCAAATTTGGTTGGATCTCGAACCACATAACCCTCACATTTTCTGCCATCGGATTGATTTTGCAAAGTAAAGTATCCTCCTTCATGCATGAGACAAGACCAGTACTTGCCAGAATTTTCAACAAAACTAGCTCCAATAAGAGTTGGGACATCTGTGATCACTGTTGCACATGGATTCATCACGGGCATATTGGACACGGTCATTCTAGTGAAGATATCACTGGGTCCAACCAATTGCGAGCCATCCAACGATGGAGTTAATTTCCAATGGGTGTTACCATCAAAACTATTGCAAACCATTGATTGATCATAGCCATGGTTGGGATGAAAAAGTTATTTGTGATGATTCCAATTTACAATCATCATTAATTATTAAAATTGCACCACGTACGTTATAAAAACAGCCCAACTCAATCCTCCATTCAAAGGTACAGCAATACCAGTAGCAACTCTTCCAGTACCATCCTGAATCCATCTGAACGTATTTCCGCTTGGAGAACTGACCCATATTCTTCCCGATCTTTCGATGAACGATCCGTCAAGCCTTGGTGCAACGTTTCCCATGGTGGTTGTTATTCTCATTAAAAAAGCAGTATCGAGATTTTTTGATGATGAAAGCCAAGCTTGCAACACAGCCTTTGTGCAAAGTGCACTTGGCATTCGTAAAAGTAACCTTAATTGAACTTTGTTTCATCCAAGCTTCGTCCTGTACATGTATCATCATTCAGAATAAATAACTTGCAACTTGCAGAAAATTTTGTACAAGCGCTGCTCCAAGGCCCCAAACAAGAAGGTAATTGAATCAAATCATTCCAACAAAAAAATTGAGAACACACTCTGGCCTCCGCACTTGAAAATGGTCTCCAACAAGCAAGCCACGCCAAGAAATACCATGAAAGATCAATCCTCTCACAGAATTTTAAAAAACAAGAGTTATTACATGAAACGAAAGCCAATCGTCAGGCTCTCATCTGCTCAGGTTGGTGCAGTCCCTCAGCAACCACAAGATACATCACATGCTTCGCTAACACCCTCCACTCCAGCATCAAAGGAGGTGCAACAACAAGATACATCACATACTTCACAAAGCCATGAGAGTCAACATGATGTTGTTGTAAATTCTCCCAATCATTCCGAAGAAGAAGATGTTCACTTGGATTTCACTCCAAAAACATCCAATCCTTTTTCTGTCAATTACAAATCGACGCCAGAGAACACTCCTGATACATCTACACTGATGGAAACTACTCTTACCGATGCAGGTATGAAGGACAGTGTCACTCACTATGAGGGCAACACCACCGATGAACAATTGTTATTAACAACAACATGTGACAATTGTTGTGCAGTGTCAATGGAAACCATCGAACAAGTTGAACCTCAAGAGACAAATTCTTTTGAAATTTCCATCCAAGAATTCGACGCCACGGAAAGCACCCATATGCAAGACATTTCTGATGATATTATCGACAATGATTTCTATTCAACTAAATCAAATCCAACTCAAGGCCCCATCATTCAAAAATCGCTCATTGAGGAAATGCGTGCTACTGCCCAAGAGCTCAGTGAATACAAGCAACAAAAAAAAGTAGAAAAAGAATTATGTGACCAAACACTTCTGAAAATGGGTCTCGATGTTAACATTCCCATGCATGAACATGTCAGAAATGGTGAAGAACGAATTTCCAAGTCGCATAAATTCGTCGATAAGGACAACAAGGGACTCATGTACGTCCTTCATGATGAAAACGAAACGGTCCAATGGGAGATTGTGCAGCCACATGAAGGAACACATATTCAAAGAATGCTTGTTCGATTCGAAATCATCGTCACGTGTGGCTCTTCTGACCATTCGTTCACGAATAAGGTTCCATCCAGACTCCATTCTGGTATGACCTACAACTTCAGATATTTGTTGAGAGTGAGGAAAGGACTGATGGACATGGCACCTTGCTGTGTCTTAACGATGCAATCGTCAGAGATTAAGCGATTACCCTTTCATACCATTCTCCATAACCCCACAGGAAGAGAATGCATCATGGATCAGAATGAAATGGTTTTTGAAGGACATCAAAAAGTAACCATTGAATGGAACGAATATTGTCAAAATGGAGAAAAGTGTCAACTACAATTGAAAGTGTATCATGACAAGAATGCTCTTGAATCTAAAACCGAGAGAATACACGCCATGACCAGCCTCTCTTGCTTTGTACAACTAAGTAACGATCTGGAACTTGCCACTCCACACATGAATTACGACAAGTTTTTAACTGAACTTGCAAAACAATCGCTTTTCAAAGAAGTATCAAGATTCAATATTTTCAATCTCCAAAATTTGGAAATTCGAAGAGAATTGGTGAACGAGTCCATCTCGTTGAACGAAATTGAACAAGAATTGCAACAAGCACCTCACTCATTGCACAAGTATAATTTACTGGCCTCAAAATATCGTTATGTATTATCACCGCCATGTTCTTTTGAATCATTGGATTGTGAAACAGACTTGGAAGAGTTAAGACATTGTTTCGAGTGTCTTGGTGTCGATGTGTATGATTACAACTCTCGAAATACGTGTGAAAAGAATATGATCATTCCATTATGTCCCGAGGAAGTGTTGCTCATGTATCAAGCTGTTGCCAAACATCGTTCAAGACAAACTACTTTTCTTTATGCAAAGCTCCTTTCCAGTGTTAAACTTTCCAACCTCAATGATCATCAACGAGAATATTTAGCATTATTATATTGCATGCTCTCCATTTCAACATTTGTCAATCCACAAGTCACCACTCTTGTCAGCCCATTTGAAAGACTCCCTGATCAGAAACAAGTCAAGAAAACTCGAATGCTAGTGAGCACAGACGAACACGATAGTACAGTAGAGCTACGACACATGCTCTACCAACAAACGGAAGATTATTTTCCACAGTGTTTGAACTTGAGTGCAGATAGTAACTTTTTCGAGCAAGTGTTTCAATCGCTAAGCTTGGAATCCTCCCAAAGGATTATGCAAAATCTTCTTGCACGATTTAACTTTGATCCAGTGGAATGGAACAGTTCCATGTCCATGACAAGTTTAATTGAATTCTTTCCTCCTCTCATGACAAACTTTATCAGGAGTGGAGTGTTCAATAGTCGACCTCTTGCCATTCGATGCTTCTTTGGAAAATTCTGCACTCTTCTATTGTGTAAACTTAGTGGCAGAGAAACAGACGATTTACAACAGAGAGTTCATTCCTTTGATATGAACAACTTGCTTGACACAACAATAGTTGTGAATCGTATTTGTGATATTGTGGCAAGAACATTGGATTCTCTGTACCAATTCATGCAAAAAGAAAAGATTTCGTTTGAGGATCTCTATTTCCTCAACAGCGCTCTTACCTTAATTCGTCAAGTCTGTTATTTTTACCAACTACTGATCAATGAAACAAGTGTGAATGAGGACGAGAAACGAGTGACAGCAGCTTTTGAGAAACTTGATAAATTCGTATGGTCAAAACTAGGTGGTGCCGATGGTGTGTCAACAAAAGTATTTGAAATATTACCACTTCGAGTGGCATTAGGAATTAAGAGCGTCCACTCTGATATTTCACGTTGAATCCTTCCACAAGTTGGTGGAACCGAAAAAGCCGTTACAAGAAAATTTCAAAAAAAAAATGCCTCGAGGGAAACCAGGAACAAAACGGAAGGAGCTTGCTCCGACATCATCACCAGCCACTTCAAAAAACACGCAATCCAATGCGAGCTCATCCACGAATAAAGGAAGGCAGATGACACTCACTGCTTTTTGTAAGACACGTAAAGTGGAACGTGTCGATAACCAAACTACTACAATGGCCATCGGAACCATGATGAATGAAAGTATGATGAGTAGTGATGCAGCTGTTGAAGAGGAATCACCCGTGAAGGTAAACATTCCCAAGTCTTATTCCGCTTCACTTAGTATCATTACATCATCTGCAACAGTCCTTTTAGATACAATAATAACTCCAAGCACAAAGCCTTCGGAAGAGTTATCAGCAGCATCATCACCGAATACATCTCCGACGCTCTCTATCGTCACCAGCGACATGAGCAACGTTGTGGAAGTATCTACAAGCAACAGCAATAGACTCTCTCCTGTATCAGCAAATGATTCAAAAAGCGTAGATGACGAATATGACATCTTTAACGACACCACATTCGATCAAATTTTCTCTTCCTCTGCAACGTTCAAGTCAAACATTGATTCCATCTATGAATCTCTAAGGGAGGTACGCGAAACAGCAAGAGAGCTTGTGGAACTACGAAAAGAAATAGCACTAAGCGCTGAATTAGACGAGCAAATAAGAATTGAAAAGGAGAAGATAGCCAAAAGGCAGTCATTAAGCCACACTGAAAACTTATCCAAACTAGAACTCATTCTATCAGAAGATGGCAACGCCATAGCATTGGATCGTTCCCTGATTCAACCATCGAATGACTATGATGGCTTTGTTTCTCAGTTAAAAAATTTAACAGCGTTCGAAGAAATGAGACGGTTTTACATTCTCAAGCTTGATAAATGTGGCTTGATACGACATCACACAACACAATGGACCAAAGAAGAAATTGAGCAAGAGTTAAGACGCGTGGTTCCAAAACACCCTGCATCTATGTTCGAATGGGAAAAGGTTGAGATCATTAAGAAGCATTTCAACTATCAATGCGATAAGTGCCCTGCAGAGATCAAGACATTGTTATTCAAACCTATTAGCACTCAAGAATTTGAAAAATATTTAGGAAAAGTTGGTATCGAGCTAGATTGTACAAAGAAAGATACCAAGAACGAATGCTTTGAATTTTTGTGTGCAGAAGAAATGATCTTTGTGTATTCACGTGTACAGCGAACTTATTGCACATTTGTGAACCATTTACTGAAACGATTTATGGAAACACTATCTAAGAGTACCCATCCACAATCTGTACAACAATATCTACCATTTCTCATCTCTGTATACATGTCCAGACATTATTTTAGGCCTGATAATTTGTTACATTCAAGTTCTAATTGGTATGCTTCAGAAACTTTTTCAGAGAGCCAGAAGAGTTTTGTTGACTCTTTGGCGAGTCATTCTATTGTGCAATCACCAATAATTATCGATTTAATTGAACAAGTTTTTGCTCTCTACGACACGGCTTCAATGAAGAGTGTTGTCACCACTCTTTTGCAATATTTTGGATTTGAGCACGAAGCCTCTGAGAACTTGGTAATACTTTCAGAGAACAATGAAATGTCACATGAAAATTTGCTTCAACTCATCAAGGTGAACTGTCCTCCCTTATTTTCATGCTTTATTCAACAAAAGCCGTGGTTGCACAAACGATACAAGAACATTGAGATTGTTTTCAAAACGCTCATGCTCATTATTCTCGCCAAGATTACAAACAACAGAAAAGTAACAACGAGTGATATTTTAGATGGCATGACCAATCACAATACAGCCAACAACATCAAGATTGAGGAGTCAATATTTTTACACACCATGGAGTTCATTCAACGATTGTCATCCATATGCCCACCACAGAAGAGTAAGGTTTTCCCATTTTTCTATCTGTTGGATAATCTCATTTCTCTAATATTGTGCTTGGACTTGAAGTCTATTCAAAGTTGTATGAGCAAAGAATCATTGTCCCTGTGTGAAAAGTTTTCCGAATCCATTCACTCTTCCCTTCGTGCTCTGTTACCTAAAATTGAGTATAACCATTTCTTTCTCCGTTTTGGAGACATTGTGAGGGAAATCATTCCACTCAAAATGTCTTCCTTTAAAACTGCTTCCAAAGCACCTCCTGCACAACAAACTCTCTCTTTTCAAACTAGGCTTCGTTGCGAAAGAGAGGATTTTTAAACGTAACAATTAGTGATTTATCCCAAATTTCACCTGTGTTTTGTTTGGACAATAAGTAATTTCATATGCTAAATTGTTCAATGATCAATAATTATGGTCGTTTTGCTGTTTGTTGGGGCTTACTGTTGTAACGTGCTCTTGAGACCTATTTCTTAGCCTTACTGCCTCATTGGGAGTTGAACATGCAACCTTCTTGAGAATTGCATCCACGCCGCATGATTCACACCGCTTTCCTGTGGTGTTCAGAGAAGAGAAACAGGAACAACAACGCTGCACGCCTCGACTCGGAACCACTGGATCAGCTTTGCTCACTACCTTCCTTCCCAAATACCCATAATAATCGTGGATGGAGCAAGTCTTGAATCCCAACGAGCAATGAAAATTCAATCACTTTGTCGATGACAATCTCATAATAACAATCGGAGCCGCCTGCACTGACATTACCAATAAAACCACTTTCTTTTTTTCCTGTGATGATTCTAATGCTCTACTGTCATTCAAATGGTTGTCAATGAAAGCTTTTCTCGCTTTTTGGAACTCAAAGGAATCAATCACATGCTCTTCTGACGTTTTCAAAATGAAGGAAAACAATCTGAAAGAGAGGAATGGCCCAATGTGATTGAGGATGGTTTCAAAGCCTTGCATATCGAAACATGATTCTTTAAGGAGCGACACTAGTTCTTGTACTCTCTCAAATTCAATATGGGACAAACAACTAATAACTTTGTCCAAGGTTACGTCTTGGAAGGAACAAGAGTTGCGTTGTCAGTAGTAGTTGACCCCAAAGTGTCATTCAGTGATGAACTTGAAGGAAGCAAGTCTGTCTCTGAATCCGTGACAATTACTTTGGACTGAAGAGGGAAGTTGAAAGGTTTGAGTCGTTCTTGATCTTTATGCTTTTCCTTACTGGAATATGGTCGTGAACGATAAGGCTTCTGGTTTGAGAGCATTTTGGAAGGAATTGTAAAAGGAACTTTTTTTCAAATACAGAAACAAAGCCTTAGGCTAGTACTTGGATTTCAGGCCAATTCCTTTCTATGATAGCTGGGACGTGCTATATCGCATCACC